TGGGTTAAGGTAAACTCCATTACATTCACATAGACCTATTACATCCATATTTGCATCATACATGGAAAACCCAGACAATAATTGTTTAAATCTTTATATGATGATTGACCTGGTTGACCTGAGGAACCAGACTGTGACTCGTACGTCAGGCTGTGAGCAGCCTGACGTACGAGTCACATCCAACAGCTCGGTTGACCAGTCCAGCAATAAGGAGGCCTGGTCGAGGACCAGACTGCGGGGACGCTAAGCCCCGAAAACACCTCAAGGTAACCTCAAGGTCAAGGTAAGGGATGATAACTGCATTACCCTGTGAATCACCAATTGACGAAGACCACAGCCTATGGGTTAACCTTTCAACTGCGTATCACAACTAGGGTTGTTTCATCGAAGGTGTGCAACACAATCCGTTTTTTGTGGGGAGCCCCTACGGCTCCCTGGAGTTTATCGGGCTAATGTATGTTATATTAGACCGGGATATTAGCTAAGGAGTTCAGACCTACCAGGGACCAGCACCAGAACCTGGCCCCTTCAGAGAGGTTTCAGGGAGCAATGGCCCTGGAAAACCCCTTTGTGGTTTGAGTTTTCTTTATCTGTAATCGACCAGGGTTAGGCACCCAGAAAGGTAGGCATAACAAAACAAACCCCACATGGTAAAAAAACTAAAACAAAAAACCAAACAGAGAGGTAGAAACTCCCTACAATCTCAAGGAAACAAGCAAACATCACACTTTACTGCCGTGCCAATTGTCCGCGCAGCCCTCCCCGCCCCGGACCTCACCGCGCTGGCTGCCTAGCATCAGTTCGTAAGCTAATGTCAACTGGGATAGATGCTTCTCTGGCCTCAGTTTCCTAGGAGGTGTTTGCCTTGTGTGACGTTCACTGCCGTGTGTTGTGTTGTGCGGTGGCCAGGTGTTCCTTATCAGCATCAGGTCTGCATGCACTTAGGGGCTTCCTTTCCTAAGCACCCTGTGAGTACTGCCCCTGCGTGATAGGGTTATCTTCCCTGGGGCGTTCAGGAACCATTCCCATAGAGGTTCTTGCTGCTCGGCACTTGCCTTACCCTTGGGGCCAGCTGGTTCTTGGGGCCCTTGTTTGGCCCTGGGTAGGGACTGGTATTGTGCTGGTTAGGGCATCAAGGTGTTGCGCGACCTGCCACCTAAGCGGCGACTGGTTCCTGTTGCCTCTGGAGACCGTGTACTTTTTGCTGGGTTTTTCTTTTGTTTTTATTTTCATTTGCCTGGTAGGGGTCTGCCCAGTGTGGCTATAGTTCCACTGGTAGTGTTTGGCGGCCCTCTGCTAGGCCCCCCGTGATTGTACACGTCGCAGGGGTTTTCAGTGTTGTCCTCTAACCCCTTGTTATTTTTGGGTTTCTTAACCGGTTAGCAACACCTTGCACGGGCTTCCTGTAGTTGTTACCCCTACAGCCCTGGAAACCCCTTTCGGGGTTCGGTGGACCATTGAATGTGCCTTCCGGGTTCCAACCCGACTTGTACGGGATCGTTGGTTGCTGTGCCCTTGTCTCCAGGTGACAGTCACCACTTTTACCTCTGTCATGCTGCCTGGTGGGTCACTGACATCTTGACCCAGAGTCTTGCGAGAGATGTTCTCGGCTTGTTCTCAAGTACTCTCCTGATGTTATTACTGTTCAGAAAATAGGCGGCATCCGTGTTGCAAGCTAGGTTAGGTTGCTGCAACACGCTAGGTTGGTTTCCCACTCAGATGCTCCGGGGCCGCCCCGTTTTGGTTAGGTATTGTTCGCCCCTTTCCCTCCCTGTTCCCGGCTCCGAACCATTTGCGGGTTTCGGGGTCGGGGCACCAACCGCAAACGCCTCGCAGGCGGATAAGGGCGCCACATACAATGGGCGACACCTAGACCACGCCGACTCGAAGACGTCCATGGCCAGGAGTCCATATGTCCTTCAGAGCCAACGAAACAAGTTGGCGATGACTGGCCAATCCACTAACACAAGAATGAACAGAGACAGGCTGTTTGCCAGGACTTAGGATACACCCCGGACATGAACCTCATGGTTAGCCAAACCCCAAGAATCCAGCAAACAAGCCACTCGAAGGGACCAACCCCAAAGGCAAACACCTAAGAGAAACCCTGTGGTTCAGGCAAAGAGCCGCCAGAGAACAGTCCGAATGGAGCTGAATGGTTGAACACCGAGTGATCAGAACCCTCCGAAGCGCAAACCAGACAGCCACGAACTCTCGAACTGTGCTGTGAGCCCGACGGAAGGGCAGACCCCACCGTCCCTGGCTGGCCTGGTGAACACTGGTCACAAAGCCCCAGCCGAAAGACGACATGTCCGTGAACACATCAGGCGAAAGCTCGGGATGGTGTCAAGGCACCGAACCCCGAGAACCACGAAGAAGCAGCCTGCAACGCAGCAACTGACACAAGGCCCCCGGAGGATGAACCCAACAATCGCGAGAGAGGCGGAAGGGACGTCCCCGAAGGAACCAAAACAGTCGCCGAAGCTAAACCCGACCTGGCGGGTAGACCAGCATGGCGAAGTTCAGACTCTCGCACAACTGCTCGAGCAACCGCCGAGTGACCCGAGACCCCCTCAGAAACAGCCGACATTGGGACCGCAGCAGCAGCAACGCCTTTGGAGGGAGCAAAGAAGCGGTCTGAAAATCCCACACAAGACCCAGCAAGGTCCGAACCTGGGACGGAACCAGATGGAGCTTCCTCCAGTTTACCAGGAACTTGAACCTGGTGAGCTGGGAAAGAACCATATCCCTGGCGAACAGACAAGCTGGCTGACTGGGAGCCCAATCCAGCCAGTCGTCGAGGTAGGCCAAAACCCGAATCCCTAGCAGATGCAGATGGGTCATCACAACCCGGGTAAGATACTTAAAAACGTGAGGTGCCAGATTCAAGCCAAAAGAGAGGCAACGAAAGCGGTACGCCTGATGCCCCACCACAAAACCTAACCAGTCCCTGAACCCCGGATGAATAGGAATGTGCCAATAAGCGTCCTTGAGGTCCAGGGACTCCATCCAGGCATCCGGCTCCAACAGAAGCCGGACCTGAGACAGAGTAGTCATCCGAAAGGAGGGGCAAGGAATCCAGGGGTTCAGACGGGACAAGTCCAGAATGAACCTCAGACCCGCACAGTCCCATTTCAGCACTGGAAACGGCACAGTGCCAGTGCCGAGAAACGGGGTCATTTTGACAATGCCCAAGCGTACCCACTCCAAGATGACTTGATGAAGCGCAGGAGAAGCAACCTGCCCTGCTAACCCCGAACCCCCAAAAGGAGGACGAGCCGTCCAATGCCACTGCAGGCCGGATGACACGACCGAAAAGGCCCAAAAATCGTGGGACCAAGCATGGGCAAAGAAAGCGAGCCTCTTCCCTTTCACCCCATCAACAGGGCGAACCGCAAAAGGGCAGATGCCTCTTATGAGAAACCAAATGTCGAACAGGGCGATTACTGCGCCGACCAGACGACGCCGGCACCGAAGACAACGTCGGCTCAGAAACTGGCACCAATGGCCCACCTCGACCACCGGAACCCTGAACCCTGGCACGACCCCTCCGAGATGGCCGAGAACGACCGCCCCGGAGAAGCAACAAGTCCGACATAAGACGACAACTAGACGAAGCCGCTTGCAAAAACTGCGGAACCGCAGCCTCTGCAAACAGCAATGGACAAAACGGAAATGAAAACCCAAGAGCCAGAGCCTAAGCGGATTCCAAAGAGATTGCAGTAAAGTGTGATGTTTGCTCGTTTCCTTGGGATAGTAGGGATTTTTCTACCTCTCTGTTCGTTATTTTGTTTTAGTTTCTTACCATTTGGGGTTTGTTTTGTTATGCCTACCTTTCTGGGTGCCTAGCCCTGGTCAATGGCAGACAAGGAAAAAACCCAACCACAAGGGGGTTTTTCAGGGTCATTGCTCCCTGAAACCTCTCTGAAGGGGGTAAGGTTCTGGCACTTGTTCATGGTAGGTCTAAACTCCATAGCTAATGTCCCGGTCTAATATAACATACATTAGCCCGATAAGCTCCAGGGAGCCATAGGGGATCCCCACAGAAAAGCTGCCAAAGATTGAGAAAAGATGTATAGGTTTGTAAGTGCTTGTGTAAGTGCTTCGTGAATCTGGCCCCTGCTATATGGTTAATGCCCCTGGTTCCAGTCAGTCATGTGTTGTTTTGAGCTATGTCTTCTGAAGTAGATTCTCTTCTTCATCCTAGTGCATGCTGCCTCTTCTACTCCTCCCCAGTAAGTCCCATATTTGTTCTCTATGGTTAGTTATCTTCAAGGAACCATTTGGTGCTACCTAGAAACCCAGCATTGAATGTAATGAAATGCCTCTTTCTGGATGAGCCTCAGTGGTCCCTGACTACCTCCATCCCTCCTGCTAGGTTTGTTGATTCAACGGTTTACTGTTTATCAACTCCAGAAGTGACAAGTAATATGGCTGTATGGGGAAGCTAGGCTGCCTAGCGATACTATAGTACATTTGGTAATATGAGGTTCATGCTTATTTTGAATGTCTCCTGCTCTGTGTGAATCATTTGCAGAGATGTTTGCCATTTTAGATTTTGATCTTTGTTGATCCTCCAGTTGATTGTAAAGCTTCACTGACTTTGTCGATGCATTACTAGTGTGGTGGCAAATTGTCATGTGTTTCTGTACCTCTGTGAGGGGGGCCAGGTCTTGGCTCTGGTCCCCAGTATGCCAAACAAAACTCACACATCTGACTTGACCCACTTGTGTGATGCAGTCTCTGCAAGATAGCTTTAGGGAACCACTAGGGCTCATTGAGAAAGATGCATTTCATTAAATTCAACACCGGGTTTATATCTTGATAAAGTATCTATCCATGTAAGAATACAAATGTAAAATAACTTAAAAGCTCAGAATCAAACCATATACAGTAAATATGAACTCATTCTATCACCTCAAACATAGTAAACAAAAAATTATGCAAAGTGGATGACAAAGTAATGACATCAGTAAGACAAATACTGAAAGTATACATACTGCAAGCAAATTCTGGACATGTTTCTTCAGGATTAGTCTGATAAAATTCCTCATTTAATCCACAGATTGGCAATTCCATCTGCAAATTAAAAAAATGTGTAAGCACTTAAGTAAAAACAATGTAAAGGTGTTCTTTAAGTGCATTATACTGAATGTCAGCAGCAAAATAAAAACATTACCTATTAAATTTAAATATATTAATACAGATCAATGAAATAAAAGTGTAGTTAAAGGCAGTTTGCTATACTCTTTTCCCCAGCTTTGCTAATATCATTGCTATAATATTATGCTGTGTTTTTTATTAATTTTATTTATCTGTTTTATATATATGCGTAAATCACAAAGAAATTAACACTTGATGAACAATGTGACAATGTCAGACCACAAAAGAAGGATTAAGACAGGAATTTCCTTAATCCTAATTTTCCCTGCAATATGACCTGTCAAATTATTTAATAACCAGGTACCCATTCACTGTTGGGTAAACACAGGCACACAGCTAAGGATTGGCACTTAATCTTACCCAACCAGGATACGAATCCAGGCCAAATTACTCGTGAAGTGCCGGGCTAGTGTGTTATCACTATGCCACAGGACTGCACTGATATAATTTCTGGTGAGCTGATTGGCAAAAGGGGTGGAGAGTTAGGATAGCTGCCAGTGAGATATGTAGCAACACTGTGCTTTTCATGTTTCAATTTGCTTCTTTAAATTTGTTTTCAAAATGGGATAGTTTAGCTTTTCTTATATTGGTGTGTGTTGATGAATATCTTTTTGCAAATTCTTTTGTAACTACATCAATCTTGTGGATTTTTTTCATATTGATGTTTCTTGTTAATTGTTTTAAGCATGCCATTTGTGAACCAAAGGTTGCTAAATCTTTTGGCAGTTATTTATTTGGTGAGAAGAGGACAGTGTGTGTTGTAGAGGCTTAAGGTTTGGGTGAGAAAGATGTCAGTTAATGGATTTATGTCATGAGAATTAATTCAAATTTCCAGTTTATAATGCAAAGCAAATATATGAAGATGAGGAGTCACAATAACACAGCTGAAATATGTTGACCAAACCACACACTGGAAAGTGAAGGGACGACGACTGACGACAGGACGGACCGAAACATCGTCATCGTTTCACTTTCTGGTGTGTGGTTTGGTCAACAAATATATGTGGTTGTCAACTGCTGTTTCACTGTGTAGTCTGGAGGTTAATTTCTTGGTATCCAATGGTTTTGTCCATGTTTGCTATGAGAAAGGTAGGATAGTGATCAGTTGTTCTGTCAGCCAGAGTGAGGGGCTGTTAAAAGTATAAGAATGTGGAATTTTAAGGGAGAATATATATTTAACCTTTCAACTGCACATAACAGCCAGGGTTGTTTCATTGATGGTGAGCACAACAACCAGGTCTTTTTTGGTCTAAAATAAAATTGTAAACTCCTGTGGGTACAATGGGCTCACATCCTGTTCTTCAGGTCTCCAGTAATCAGATGCCTTCTTCAAAAAAATCATGGGCACCCATCCTGGGTGTGAAAGCCTCAGTACTAACACAGCAACCATGGGTAGCACACGTTGCTGCAGCTCACACCACTACTTGTGCGACACACCATCACTTGATAATACCTAAATAAATAAGTTTCTGCAATTATTACTGACTGACTGTTGCAGTAATAACTGATTGACTGACTGATGTTACTGACATAGAAGACTCTGATAGTGAAAAGATCATGTAAAACGCTCAAATAACAATAAACCCAATCCTGGAGAATATATTCCCAAAACAAAAACAGAAACAGCACACAGCCGTGGATTTTGCTTCTGCATTTCATGCAATGTGACCACAGGTTCATTTAGAAAATTAATAAATGTGAAAAATTAATCATATTCAGGATTTAATCACCAGGATTGTGACCAGTGATCATGAATCAGTGATGCCATTGAGGTGTTTCCTCACTCCACCACAGTCAAACATACAATAATTTTTTTGTTTAGTTCTCATGATCCGGAAACGTGTTCTAATAATATTTGAAAGAAAAATAATTTTTTTTTTTTTTTTTTTTGCATACAACAGAAGAGTCACATGAAAAAGGTGCAATGTAGGAGTTAATGAAAATGAATACAAAAATCAGCAGAACATACCCTATCTTTAGTAACTATGATTACTGCCAACTTACCGGAGCACATGTTGAGACTTGTGGTTGAGATGTAGTGGTGGGGAAAGGTGTAGTGACCTGGACACAGGTATATTGTGGGCATGCTGATGACTCTGAACTCTGGATGTACATGATGCGGAGATCTGATGGGCATTCCACTGGTGGACACACAGTAGTTACAGAGATTGGTACACAGTCATACTGAAAAGTGAGGATTTAGATTAAATATTATTTATAATGACAACAATTTAAGAATATTTTATCTTTAAATAAATCAACAAAATTCCTAAACTTTTTGTGTGAGAGAGAGAGAGAAGGATAGGAGAGAAGTAACAGGAGAGGAGAAGGGGGAGAAGGGGTATGTTGGAAGAGAAACTAGAGAGAGGGAAAAAGAGGGTCGAGGGAGAGAGGGGACAGACAGGAGGAGATGGGGGGCAGACGGAAGATGAGGGAGAGAGGGAGTAGACAGGAGAAGGAGAGAGGGAGGGAAGATAGGACAATGGTCGTCCCAGGAGGACTTCAAGGTCTGTAAACGTTCTAAACATTGATTGGAGAGCATCCCTTGTTGTAATGTGACGGGTACTCTCCAATGAACATTGTAACATGAGAGGTTTTCTCTCCATTGAATGTTTTAGAACATTTACAGACCTTGAAAAAGTCTTTCTAGGACAACCTTTGAAACGGGCACAATACTTCCTACTGCTGACTTAGCCACACCGACCAACAAACTTATTTAATTCATTTGGTGGCATATCCTTTAAAGCAATAATCTGAGCAATGATTTCCTTGCTTTGTTCCTTGGCAGGTGCCATAAGAATATAATAATGACGCTGTATGGCTCCAAAATGCCAGCGGACACCTTGACGTCATGTACCCAGTGCATATTTCTGTCTCAAATATTTCACACACAAGATTTATCATTCTTTTTTTGCCACAAGTACACACCAAGTGGCAAGTGCATGAGGTGGTTTCTCACCACCTCAAGCAGGGCAGGACATACTGTACTTTTGATGAATCCTGTATATATTTAATTAATACTTCTACAACACTAAAAAGTATAGCAGTTTTTATGTTATTAAGACATGATTTACCTGAGGACATAATTTTAAAAGTTCCTTGGAGTCAGCAAAGAAGATGTCATATCCCTCCATACAAACGGGAGGTTGGCAGGGTGCCGTGGGAGGTACTTCTGTCACACACTGGTACTGAGTGCAACCATCATCAGAGGTTTGTTGTGATAATTCATAGATGTAGTCTGATTCCTGGACAACATAGCCCTCTTGACAACTTGGAGGAGGGCATGTAGGCATCTCCATTGTTGTGACTGGAGGAATGCACTCATACTCTGGACACACGCCACCAAACTGTCAAAGAACTTATCTCAGATACATTGATGAAACAGAACTTGGGAAAATAATTTTATTGTGCATCATGTTATCCATGTTAATCACTAAAGAAGTTAGGTAGGGCTACAAACCTCGTTAGGAACTAGCACAAGGTTATAATAAGGTGGACAGAATGGAAGAGGGCAAGGTAGATGAGTGGTGACCTCTGGTGGTTCACATACGATGGTAGGGCACAAGCCCTTTGTTGCCCGCACCTTCGTCACCCAATGGTCAGGGCAATATGGTGTTGGACAGACATCAGGAATTTCTGACAAAACAAAACAAAAAAAGTGAAAGCAAGGTTCAACTGATCTCTGCTGAAGTTTTATCTATATGACAGTATACACAAAATCTACACACCAATAACAGTCACTTTTACATATAATTTATGAAACACCCGGCTTGTTGAAGGAGACTATGGACATATGAGTGATGGTGACATATCAGTAGTTGTAATAATTTAAGTTTAATTATTGCTATTTATCAAATAACTCTTCCCTATCATAATTCACACTGAATACATAAAGTTTTCAAGTCTCTACTCTCACTTAAAATGGTTTAAACAATACTACTGTGCACCAATACTGAATGTTTGTACACAATTGTAATAAAGAGCAGAGTTGTGATGTTAATTAATTAACTGTCATCATGAAATATAGCTTTACTCAGGTACCTGGTGTTGTTGTTGGACAATTAAGCTCATCATCTGGACACTCTTCAAGACCATTGCACCAAGAAGATTCATTTAAGCAGTAGTTACTGGAGGGGCAAAGTTTGCTTCCTGGAGGACATGGTTTACACACACACCCACAAGACGGAGTCGACACAGATTGCTGACCCTGGCACAGAGTACATAGTTATATACACTCTTATTCTGGTTTGGCAAACTTGGAAACACAATAATAGTCAAATTGTATGCAGTAGCCAGTAGGTTACTTAAGCTGAGAAAAATATATCCATAACAGAATAAACTGCTTCTAATAATTATAGATAAAGCAAAGTGAACCAGTGACTCATTGACATTTTTTTCAAATGAATACAAGGAAAAAAATACTGAACCAAATTTACTAACATCTTCACATGGCGGACATTCTTTCTTCATACACACGGTGTCTCCGCCTGTTATACATTCACACTCTTCACAGTCCTTTGTCACGAAGAGAGTTCCAATATTATATCTATAAAGGAAGATCATATTTTATTCCTTGCTTTAAATAAACCAATTAATAACTTATGATAAAACAGTTCTCATTTGCCTAATACCATTAGAGAAATTAATGAACAAAATAGCTTTCCTCTCACCTGTAACCATCTTCGAAGCAAGAGCACAACAATTTTGACACACAAGACTGGCCATCAAAATATTCTCCAGAATTACATGGAATACACTTGTCATAATACTCCTCTGGGAGGCCAGGGCAGGCAGAACAATAAGGTGGAGGTGGCTGTGTGGTTGTCAAAGCTGGAGCTGGCGTAGTGGTCACTTCAGCTGAAGAACACCAGTTAATAAGTTATTTTCAATATAAATTTTGTTTATTTATTACTTATAAATTATACTTCTCATGGACACTGAAAATAAAAAACAAAAAGCATCTATTAAGTGATTGTAATACAGCAACTAGGACTATTGTGTGTGTTACACGTAACAGAAACATTACTAACGATATGGATGGAAACAGCCGAGTACTTCAGCTCTTAGGGCAATATTGGTTTTCCATGTTTTTGGTCTGATTTCCAAAAAGCGTGCTTGTACAATTCTGTCAAACTTGTTCTCAACTTGGGTGTTTCTGTCAAAGTTGCCTGGGAAAATCTGTAATAACATTGATATACTACATGTCACATATCATGTATTTTAATTTTCACTTAATGATAATTAATGTTCCTTGTAAAACAATAAACTGTACCAGAACATCAGTACATTATATCCAAACATGGACAATATATTAAATATTAAAATTTAAAAGCATTTACATTATGAAAATATATATGTAATGAAAGGTGTACCTTATCACTGCCATCAGGGTCCTTTATAGTGTTCCAGGTCTGACCATCGGGGGAGTAACGGACAGTATAGGACTCGACCCATTCATCAGCACCATCTCGCCCCTGTGTTACCACTCCTGACAACTTGCTTGGCTCCATAAAGTCAAACTGAAGAGAAAATATTTAAAATTTTTGTTGCATTTTAATAAGTGATTAATATTAATTACCAGTATGTGCTTCATTAGTTTTATGACACTACAGTAAAGCTCTCATAATCAGTAATAAAGATTGATAATGTACAACCGATGATTTCATATTACGGTATGAATTAGTATTAAACAGACAAAGGGAAATGACAACCCTATTGTCCACTACTCAGTGAAACAGACATCCCATCCCAGTGATAGTGAGAAATGGCCAAGTTGTGATGATAATGATGAATAATTAAAACATTTGTACTGTAAAGCAGTATTTTTGTGAACTTGCCATTTAAGCAGAATATTAGCTATGTTGCCAACTTACCAATTAGGCAGAATATTTGTTATATTACCAACCTATCATATAGGGAGAGTATTAGTTACATTGCCAACTTACCATTTAGGCAGAGTATTAGTTATATTACCAACTTATCATATAGGCAGAGTATTAGTTATATTACCAACTTACCAATTAGGCAGACTATTAGTTATCTTTGCCAACTTACCAATTAGGCAGACTATTAGTTATCTTTGCCAACTTACCATTTAAGCAGAATATTAGTTATATTGCCAACTTACCAATTAGGCAGAATATTAGTTATATTGCCAACTTGACATTTAAGCAGAATATTAGTTATACTGTATAAGTTTTAAAAGTAAGCAATGCCATTAAAACTGACTCTAATAAACTGGTCAGGTTTGGGCTCTGCTAGCCAGGCCCCAGCCGATGTGTATGGTGTTGCTCGGCTGTTTAGAGGAATGTTTTGCTTCCCATAGAAGTACTCCTGATCATTTAGGACTGAGGAAACTGTAATCTGAAGTTCTGACATCTCTCCCGTCTCCAATCCCATCGGCTCCTCACACTCGGGTTCTCCTGTTTATAAGAAGTACCATGTCAAAATAACAGTGTCAAGAAAAACTGCAAGGAAATAAGTAGCAAATAATGTATTGTACTGTAATTTAACCATTGTACTGTGTGGCTGTTTGATGTGACAACATCATGGTTGTCAGGAAGATATTTTTACATATTTATTTTAATGTCTGAATGTTTTCTCTGTTTTTTTGCAGTAATATTATTCAGAAGTGTATAATTTAAGAAACTTATATACAGTATTCAGATGTGTGGAACAGCTCGATACTAAAAAATATAGTGTGCATGTTACTGTGTGTGTAATTACCTAAGTGTAGTTACAGGGTGAGAGCTATGCTCGTGGTGTCCTGTCTTCCCAGATCTCTATGTCATATAATGCTTTGAAACTACTGACGGTTTTGGCCTCCACCACCTTCTCACCTAACTTGTTCCAACTGTCTACCACTCTGTTTACAAAAGTGAATTTTCTTATATTTCTTTGGCATCTTTGATTAGTTAGTTTAAATCTATGACCTCTTGTTCTTGAAGTTCCAGGTCTCAGGAAATCTTCCCTATCAATTTTATAAATTCCTGTTACTATTTTGTACGAAGTGATCATATCTTCTCTTTTTCTTCTCTCTTCTAGTTTTGGCATATCTAATGCCTCTAACCTTTGCTTGTAGCTCTTCCCTTCAGTTCTGGGAGCCACTTAGTAGCATGTCTTTGCACCTTTCCCAGTTTGTTGACGTGCTTCTTAAGATATGGGCACCACACAACCGCTGCATATTTTAGCTTTGACTTAACAAAAGTCGTGAACAATTTCTTTAGTATTTCGCCATCCAGGTATTTAAAAGTAATTCTGAAGTTAGAAAGTGTGGCATAGGCTCCTCGCACAATGTTCTTTACGTGGTCCTCAGGTGATAGTTTTCTATCTAGAACCACCCATAGATCTTTCTTTATCAGAAGTCTTTTAAAGACTTTCCACATAATTTATTGGTTGTGTAGGGTCTATGTTCTTCTATTCCACATTCCATAACATGGCATTTATTTACATTAAATTCCATTTGTTAAGTGGCGCTCCATATACTTATTTTGTCCAGGTCTTTTTGAAGGGCATTAAAATCATCTAAGTTACTTATCCTTCCTATTATCTTAGTATCATCAGCAAACATGTTCATATAATTTTGTATTCCATCTGGTATATCATTTATGTAGACAATAAACATTACCGGTGCAAGAACTGAACCCTGTGGTACTGTCTGATATTATATAGTTTTTCTTTAGGTGTTCTACCCATTTAGTTTTAATTATTTTTTCCAATATTTTGACTATTATACTTGTCAATGATTCAGGTTTATAATTGAGGGGGTCTTCCCTGCTGCCACTTTTGTAGATTGGAACTATGTTAAGCCTTTTTCCACACATCAGCTACAACTCCTGTAAACAGGGATGCCTGAAAAATCGGTTGAAGTGGAATGCTGAGCTCAGGTGCACAGTCTCTCAGAACCCATGGTGAAAATCCATCTGGACCAACTGCTTTGTTCTTACTTAGCTCCTAGAGCATTTTTTCCACTTCATCTCTAGATCTCTAGACACCTATGTGCTCAATGTTGTTCTCTGGAATTCTTATTGTGTCTGGTTCCCTGAAGATTTCGTTTTGTACAAACACACTTTGGAACTTTTCGTTTAATGTTTCACACATTTCCTTTTAATTTTCTGTGAATCTATTTCCCATTTTCAACCTCTGAATATTATCCTTTACCTGCAATTTGTTGTTTATGGATTTATAGAATAGACCTGGTTCTATTTTACATTTGTCTGCAATCCCTTTTTCAAAATTTCTTTTTGCCTCTCTCCTCACTACCGTGAAGTTGTTTCTTGCATCTTTGTATCGCTGGTATGTTTGGTGGTTTGGCCTCTTCCTGAATTGAAATTTCTGCCCCAACCCGGATGGGGCAGTCCCCAAGGCAGCCCGAGTCTCATTACCAACTAAACCCTGTGCCAAGGCCGAAACCCTCAGACATTTTGGAGCCGGACACAGGGGGGAAGATGCAGGAAGAACCACAGGGCAAGGACCAGGGAGCGCGAAAGGAGCCAAAGCCGAAGCAACTAATGCCCTCAGGTCAGGGTCCATAAAACCAAAATGGGGCAGCCTCGGGGCATCCGGGTGGGAAACCAACCTAGCGCGTTGCAGTAACCTAAACCTAACATGCAACGCTGATGCTGCCTGTACCCTAACAGTAACATCCTCAGAGTAGAACTGGAGTACAAGCAGAGAACACCACTCGCAAGACTCCGGGTCAAAGGTGTTGTTGACCTAACAGGCAGCATGACAGAGGCAAAACAGGTGACTGTCACCCTGAGACAAGGGCACACTGCAACCTTCAAACTCGCACAAAGCAGGCTGGAACTCGGGAGACGCATCCATGGGGTCCACCGAGCCCCGACACAGGTTTCCAGGGCCCGTAGGGTAATAACTACATATGCCCGGGCAAGGTGCTGCTAACTGGTTAAGAAACCCAAACAAAACATGGGGTAGATGATAACACTGAAATCTCCTGGGACGTGTACAAGCACGGGGACCTAACAAGAGGGCCACCGAAACAATATCAAGGAAACTATAGACCCACGAGAAAAAACAAAAACAAAACAAAAACCCCGCAGAAGTACACCATCCCCAGAGGCAACAGGAACCGGTTGCCGTTTAGGTAGCAGGTTGTGCAACACCTTGACGCCCTAACCAGCACAACACCACTCCCTACCCAAGGCCAAAGAAGGACCCCAAGCCTCAGCTGGCTGGCCCCAAGGGCGAGGCAACGGTTCCTGAACGCCCCAGGGAAGATAACCCTGACACGCAGGGGCAATACTCACAGGGCGCCTAGGGAAGGAAGCCACTAAGCGCATGCAGCCCCGGGCACTGATGAGGTACTCCTGGCCACTGCACACCACACAAAGACAGCAGAGAACGCCACACAAGGCAAACACCGCCCAGGAATTTGAGGCCAGAGAAGTGTCTATCCCAGTTGACACTAGCTTACGAACTGAAGGCAGCCAGCGAGGTGAGGTCCGGGGCACCCCCTCTCCCTCCCTGGGAGGGGAGGGATGAGCGGACGACTGGCACAGCAGTAATTTGTGATAATTGATTGTTTGATTGTTTCCTTGGGATTGTAGGGAGTTTCTATCTCTCTGTTCGGTTTTTGTTTTAGTTTCTTACTATGTGGGGTTTGTTTTGTTATGCCTACCTTTCTGGGTGCCTAACCCCGGTCGATGGCAGATAAGGAAAACCCCAACCACAAAGTGGTTTTCCAGGGCCATTGCTCCCTGAAACCTCTCTGAAGGGGCCAGGTTCTGGCACTGGTCCCTGGTAGGTCTGAACTCCATAGCTAATGTCCTGGTCTAACATAACATACATTAGCCCGATAAGCTCCAGGGAGCCGTAGGGGCTCCCCACAGAAAAAACATTAGAAAGTTCACGTTTGCAAACAGAGTGGTAGATGGTTGAAACAATTTAATTAGTAAGGAGGTAGAAGCCAAAATCGTCAGTAGTTTCAAAAGAGTACAGAGTACTGGGAATATGGGACACCATGAGTGTTGCTCTCATTCTGTAACTATACTGTACTTAGGTAATTATGCAAGAGAACATGCAAAATAAACACACAGACAAATAACATCCTCTCTTGTATACTTTAGTTTTAACTGTGAATATATATTCTGAATACATACTGACTGTTGTGGATGGAGGAGTGACTGTTGGAAGATCACAACCAATCACTTCAAATCTCAGAGCAATGGCTCGATGCCATTCAGTAGGTTTCAACCTCAGATATCGTGCCTCTATAGGTTCACTAAATAGCTGCTTCAAGGGTGCTAGTGGGCTCCACGGACCTTGGAAAATCTGCGATATATAAAATAAAAGAAATACATGTTGAAATGTGTGTCTATCATCTATGCTGTTTCTTGTAAAACAGAGACTATACAGTGGGAATACAGCTGACATAAATTGTAAGGGCACATGCTTCTAAGTCGCACTCTAAAGTACAGACTATCGAAACACATCCTTACTTCTTATAAATAATTGGAGGAAATAACTGATCAATAAATAATAATGAAATAAAGATCAAGTTATCTTAGCCTAGTTTGGACAATAATCATACCTCTGTCTAATTTTTACAAATGGGCTTTATTTAATGGGCTCAATGTTACTTTACAAGAACTATTCCTGTGATTTGCAGTTACTTTACAGGATACCTGTTAACATTAGAGTGATAACTTCATAAAACATAGATTTCTCTTGAGAAGGGTTTTAAATACTGGTCTCACTTAACCAGACATAAAATAGTTATGTTAATCACAACACCGACTATGTGTTCAGGAATACACACTAGGGAAAGCCAATACAAGGCATTTATAATGGAAGGAAACTCCCCTTCCAAACACTAACATCTCTCCTCCTCCTCCACCACCCCCCCTCCTCACTGTCTTCCATATACCAACAAGAGTCCTTAATAAAGATAAGGTATAGTATAAAATATGAGTAGTATTCTGTATAAAATGTATTTTTAAGTTAATATCTTTGGGTGTGTGGAATGGATTAATTCAATTTCCATTATTTCGTATTGGAAAATTTATTACAGTTATCTTGAGGTTATCATGAGATGATTTCTGGGCTTAGCGTCCCAGTCCTCGACCAGGCCTCCTTTTTGTTACACACCCCCCAGGAAGCAGCCCGTAGCAGCTGTCTAACTCCCAGGTACCTACTTACTGCTAGGTAACAGGGGCATCAGGGTGAAAGAAACATTTTGCCCATTTGTCTCCACCTTCACCGGGGATCGAACCCCGGAACCTCAGGACTACGAATCCAAAGCGCTATTCACTCAGCTGACAGGCAGTTTACGAATTTTTGGTGTACAAACCGTCTCTTGGAACTGATTAAATTTATAAACCAAGGTGCCACTGTAATATAAATTGAGAATAATTCATTATTATATACACTACTATTGAACATTACAATAATAATAATAATAACAATTCATTGTGTCGGGGGACAGGCAGCCAGTGTATTCATATACGTTAGGCTTATATCGAGGTTCCCCCTCAGGATCAAATTACAGACCCCGCCAGGATGCAACCCCACAACAAGCTGACTAACTCCTGGGTACTTACTTGCTACTAGCTAAACAAAGCATTAGGATGATAACAAATGTGCCAAACCATTTCTGTCTCACCTGAGATTCGAACCCAGAATTCTCAATTTTGAGTCGAGAATGAACCCGACTACTATCAGAACCCTGAATCATACTGTATCTTTATATATCTAAGAAAAGGCATACTGTATATGGTATATACAGTATCTTGCTTGAATTCTCTTGAGTTGCTATTTGTAATTATAATCCCCTTGTGTGTAACAGTTACAAAGGATGTGTCAGCAACTGTAAACATTGCTATCCACACTATGCTGCATACCATCCTGAGTGAGGAAGAGAGATATTGAGAGAGGGAGGACGGGCAGTAATGGAGGGGAGGCAGTGAAGGACGGAGAGAAGGGGAGGAAGGGATAGATTAAGGGAGGCAGTGAGAGAGGAAGGGAGGCAGTGAGAGAGGAAGGGAGGCAGTGAGAGAGGAAGGGAGGCAGTGAGAGAGGAAGGGAGGCAGTGAGAGAGGAAGGGAGGCAGTGAGAGAGGAAGGGAGGCAGTGAGAGAGGAAGGGAGGCAGTGAGAGAGGAAGGGAGGCAGTGAGAGAGGAAGGGAGGCAGTGAGAGAGGAAGGGAGGCAGTGAGAGAGGAAGGGAGGCAGTGAGAGAGGGGGCAGTGAGGGGGAGAGAGAGAGGCAGTGAGGAAGGACGGGAGAGTGGCAGTGAGAGAGGGAGGGATAAAGGCAGTGAGGGAGGGTGGGAGGTAGGTCGGGAGGGAGAGAAGTACAGTAGTGAGGGAGGGGGAAGAGGAGGATAGTGAGGAAGGGGAGGGGGAGAGATAGTGAGGAAGGGGAGGGGAAGAGATAGTGAGGAAGGGGAGGGGAAGACATAGTGAGGGAGGGGGGAAGAGGTAGTGAAGTAGTGAATTCGCCTCTCAAAGGTGAATTCCTGAACACACTAAAGATGGTAACTCTGAGTATTCAAGAGCAGTGTTAGTGGGCACTCAGGGAAGAAACCCATAAGCTCATGCAGCCTGAAACACAACAAGAGCCAAGCCCACACAAGCCAGAACAAAACCATGCACATGAAGCCAATATTAAAATACTGTAACAATACACAAAGTAAATGGTTCCTGCAGGACAAGATTCCAAATATGGCCAACATTTAGCTTGAAGCAGGACTTGCTCATGATCTAATGGCCTGAAACAATGATGATGTGGAGCAGGCTGCTCCACACGCTCTTACATCAGCAACAAAACTGAGTTTGGAGTCAGCTGAGGACTGGGAACCAGATCACCTTACTGGTGGTAATCAAGTCTAATGAGTTTTGAGCTAGTCGGAGTGAACCCCCTTGTTGTGTGTGAATCATTTACAGAGTTGTTTTGTGGCTTTGTTTCCATGAACCTTCAGTTGTCTGTAAAGCTTCACTGACTTTCTGGAGGATTTTTCTGGTGGGGTGGTGGACTGTTACTTTCTGTGACTGATATGACCTTTTCGTATGGAGCAATGTTAGCACTATTGCTTCAGGGAGCCACTGGTGTGTTCCCTCCAGAAAGAAGCTGATATTATCAAAGCATTGATTAATTATAATTATTTGGTACTCAAAAAAATTCATATACCATATATATTTTAAAATAATAGTATTACCTTGGGGGAGCTTGCTGGATATTTAGGATCATCTGGCAGTACACTCCATATGTTGTTATCTCTTGAGTGTTGGATTGTGTAGGCTGTGACTCTCTCTCTGGTGAGAGGGTTGCCAGCCACTTCTACCCCATACACAGGAACCACTGAGCCCAGGTCAACTTGTATAAATTGATCGTGGTTGCTGATCAGGGCTGCCCAGCTTTTAGCTGTTTGATATAAAAATCATTGTTTTTACAAAATACATATAGGTTAAATACTTATACAGGCATACCTCAGAATGCGAGTTTAATCCGTTCCTGGAGACGCCTCGCCTTCTGAAAACTCGCATTCCGAAGTTAATTTCCCCATAAGAAATAAAGGGAAATGAATTAATCCGTTCCTGACTACCCCAAAAACCCCACATCAAACTAAATTTTTATACCTAATTTACCTAATTCATCTAAATAAACCTACAAAACTATGTTCCAGTTATTACTTACCTTGCTGTCGAGTGCTGTAGGCGTATGGAAGATGGTGAGGAGGGGGGAGGAGGAGAGGAGTTACTGTTTGGAAGGGGAGTCCCCTTCCATAATCACATCAGGCAGTGAGGACCTTTCTGGTGTGCTCTCCCTGGGACGTTTAACCTGAGTGCCACTAGGTCCTGGTTGAGGCTCACTGCTCGATTTCCTCACCACAAATCTGTCCATGGAAGCTTGCTTTTCCCTTCTTCGCAAGCTCTCTCTGTAGTAAGGCATCACATTGTCATTGAAAAGATTAAGACAACGGCCTACTACAGCTTTCTCTGGGTGAGTCTGTTCAATAGTTGTTTGAATCTCTTCCCACATCTGACACACCTTCTTAATTACTGCAGAAGGGACACTCGCTGGTGCTGTTGGTGCTGCTGCCACCTCCTCCTCCACTGCAGAATCATTCGCTGCTGTGTTGGCTTGCTGTTCCTGTTGAAGGGCTAGGAGTTCTTCGGTGGTCAGTTCTTCGTTGTGTTCTTCCACCAACTCCTCCACATCATCACCATCCAATTCTAAGCCCATTTGCTGGCCTAGACTAACAATTTCCTCAACAATAGGCGCATCATTTATAGGCTCAAACCCCTCAAAGTCTAGTTCTCTCACACCTTCAGGCCACAATTTTCTCCAGCCAGAGATCAGGGTTCTTTGAGTCACTTCTTGCCAGGCTTTGTCAACGAGTTTTAAAGCACTACAAATGTTAAAATGCTCTCTCCAGAACTCTTTGAGGGTGAGGTTTGTGGCTTCAGTCACTTCAAAACATTTCCGGAAAAGTGCCCTTTCATACAGTTTCTTAAAATTCGCTATGATTTTCTGGTCCATAGGCTGAATTAGAGGAGTGGTGTTAGGAGGAAGGAATTTAACTGTGAGGAATTTATTGTATTGAGGCATCAAATCATCTTCCAAACCTGGAGGATGAGCAGGAGCATTGTCAAGGAGAAGCACGGCTTTGAGTGGCAATTGTTTCTCCTGCAGATATTTTTCTATGGCAGGGCACAGCACTTCATTCACCCACTCCGAAAAAATTAGCCTAGTGACCCATGCTTTTTTATTAGACTTCCACATCCCACACAAACGGGTTTTCTGCACATTATACTGTTTGAAAACCCTTGGATTTTCAGAATGATACACTAGCAAGGGTTTAATTTTCAAATCGCCACTCGCATTTGAACATAGCACAAGCGTAAACCTATCTTTCATAGGCTTGTGTCCAGGCAAGGATTTTTCCTCCTTGGTAATGTATGTCCTCTTAGGCATTCTTTTCCAAAACAGTCCTGTTTCGTCACAATTAAACACTTGTTGCAGTAGGTATCCCTCAGCCTGTGCAAACTCTTTAAATTCGTCAATAAATCGTCCAGCGGCTGGTTTGTCTGAGCTGGCTGCCTCCCCATGCCTTGTAACACTATGGATACCACTTCTCTTTCTAAATTTTTCAAACCAGCCCCTGCTTGCCTTAAACTCTTTCTTATCTGCATCACTCGTTGCAGGGGTCTTCTTTAGAAGGTCTTCGTGCAACACCCTGGCTTTCTCACAAATAATGGCCTCCGAAACACTATCACCCCTCAACTCCTTGTCGTGTATCCAAATTAATAACAACTTTTCCACTTCTTCAAGTATTTGTGGTCTTTGTGCCGTTAATGTTCTTACTCCTTTTGCCACATTAGCACTCATAATCTTATTTTTCTTCTTAAGTATAGTGCATATTGTTGAAGTGGCTTTGTTGTACTGCCTACAAAGTTCAACAACACGTGTACCGTTCTCATGCTTCCGAATGATCTCTTGTTTCTCCTCTATTGTCATCCTCACATGAGCTTTCTGGCCTTTATCCTTACCACTGGCTTTCTTGGGACTCATGGTGAGATATATAATAACAAATTGTATAGACAAATCACCAAAAATCCAACAAATCACTGAAAATCCGCGAGAAGAATTGATGTGGGGGTAGTCACTGAGCGCGAGACAATGGTAAACTGAGGGGCAGCGGGGCAGAGGGGCGACAATCGCCGAACCACCAAGCGCTAGGTCGGCCTGTACACGTATCAACAAACTCGCGTCCCAACTCGCGTCCCGAAGTAACCATCGCCTTCCGAGACAAATTTTTGGAGTAAATACTGCTCGCCTTCCGAAAACCTCGCATACAGGGACAATTGCATTCCGAGGTACCACTGTATAGAGTTATTAAATTAAATATTATTGATGTGATGTAAAATCCTAGCACTGAATGTAATTAAATACCTCTTTCTGGACGAGCCTCAATGGCTCCCTGGAGCTATTTCTCTGAGATTGCTCCATGTAAATGGATCACATCAGATGCAGGAGTTCTTTGTTAATCCTTCTTCAGTTGTCTTTGTTAACCCTTTGTTAACCCAGATTTGTCTGTGTTAACCGTTCAGTTGTCTGTACAACTGATAATTTCCCAGTGTGGTGGGGAATTTTTCCATGCTCTCTGCACCTCTGTGAGGGAGGCCAGGTTTTGGCTCTGGTCCCAGGTAGGCCAAACAGAACTGTATCTGATGTGATTTATTTATCTGGAACAATCTCAGTGAGACAGCTTCACAGAGCCACTGGGGGAGCCCCCAGAAAGTCAATATTTGGACAAGTGTTCAAAATTCACTTACTGGAAAGGCTACCATCAGCATCAAAAAGACGCGCTCTCGAAGCTCCATATACAGAGTTGCGAGCAGTAGTAGAAGAGAAGGCACTGTCATCCACCTCTTGAAGCAGGTTTTTGAATCTATAATTCAGAGATTTATAAAATAATTTCAAGATGTGACCACCACCACAGCCATTACCATACACAAGACAGACACAGGTGTTGCAAGTGAGCGACAGGGTAAGCCATCTGCTGGGTAGTAGTTTAGCCAGGTAAACAATTGTAAACAATTGCTAAAAGCATCCCATTTTCTAGCCAACTATGACCATAACAATGTCAATATGGTTTTAGATGGTGGAGATAGTGTCATGTGACTCTCAGATAAGTTGAAATAATAACAGATAGCTAAGATGCTCTCTAACATAATGAGAGTATGTTAATAAGAAACATGGTAGTTTACAGAGTGTGTAAACACACACTTGCCACAATGCCTGTTTGATACATATACAACACCTGGTTTGACTGAGGCAAGTGTAGATTCATAATATGCTCCCACAGATATCTTCATCATTATCAAAAAGCAATTACAGTACTGATCAAATTCTTGTATGTTGGTTTAATGTACTATGTAAATAAAACCACTGTTGAATGTAATGAAACGCCATTTTCTGGGTGAGACCTGGAGGCTCCCTGGAGCTATACCGGGCTGATGTGTATATATTAGACCATGGCAACAGTCAATCGAAGGAATTCTAGGCCTACCGGGGACCAGAGCCAGAACCTGGCCCCCTCAAGAGAGGCACAAGGAGTAATGGCCTAAAGACACCCCCGTGTAATTGGAAGCAGTCTTTATTTGCCATCTACCAGGTCAGTCACCCGGAAAAGTAGGAATTACAAAACAAACTACTGCTGATCAAAGAATTTGCAAACCAAAAGCCGAACTAGTAACAGAACTCCCCAATCAAAACCAAGGAAACAAGTATGATGTCACCACAAACACCGCGCATCCGTCTGCGCAACCCCCTCCCCTCCCCTTCCTAGGAGGGGGCTGGGGGGGGGGGACCTCCACACCCGCAACTCTCCTCAGTTCAGAGGCCGAGTATCAAAAACGTGAAAAAAAAAATGCTGACAGGAGGGAAAAAAAACGCTGACAGGAGGGAGGGAGGGATGCCGGGGAGCCTCCAAATCTCACCCAGAAAATGGCGTTTCATTACATTCAACACTGGTTTTCTGCGGAGAGCCCCTTCGGCTTCTCGGAGCTACCTAACTGAAGATAAAGAAAAAGAGGGACTTACCTGGTAGGCGGTTGTCACTCGCTCCTCAACTCAAAGTCGAGACAACTGGCTGCAACCTGTGACCCAATGCTAGACACGCCTGAGAAGGGCCAGGAACGTTAACGAGATACCATGTGGCCAGGACCCTGTTCAACCTCCAAAAGCCCTGTGCCCGAATATCAGCCCAAGACATGTTCCCAAAAACAGCAGCCAAAGCTGCGAACTTACGAACGTCGTGGGCACGGGGTTAGACCGCAGGCAGGCTGGACCGAATATTCTTGCAAACGACCTGGGAGACCCGCACCCTGGAACAGAGAAGGGAAACTGGGTCCACCCAAAGCGCATCCCGTGCCACGCAGAGAATGGCGAAGAGTCACAACCGGACACAAAACATGATGCTTCCCCGGCCGTACCAACCAAGCAGCAACAATCCAAGGACCCCTTCAGAAAGCAGCAGATTCATTCTTCGCCAGAAAAGAAGGAGAAGGCTGCAAATGAATGAAACGACCACCAGGACCGAAAGAGCAGAAACTCCTGCACTGGAGGAGAGCATGAAGCTCCCCAACCCGACCCCCAGAGGCCAATGCCAACAAGAAAAGAGCCTTAGAAAACCAGTCCTGAACCGAGGGGGGTCACCACAAACTGAGGAGAAGAGAGAAAAGAGAGAACCCGGTCCAGCGACCAGGATGGCTCAGGCGGTGCATGAGCAAGCCAAAGGTGAAACAACCCCCGAGAAAGCTTGCGAAATGGAGCAGAAGTGACATCCACCCCAAATGCTAGCTGCAGCAGCTCCGCCAGCACCACACGATACGAGGCGACCGTATTTGGCATAAGATGATGGTCCTGAAACAACCAAGATAGAAAGGACAAAACAACCCGCTCAGAAATCGAAGACAACCTACGAAGAGAGAAAAAATGCCGAAAGAACCACCAGGAAATTTCATACTGCTGTCTAGACGAAGCAAGTGGGACACCATCAACGAAGCCACCTGATCACCATACAAGTGGTGATAAAGCTGCGTCAAAAAGACCAGACACAGAGTGGAGGAGAAGATCGAACCAGCCACGTACCGGACCGGAACGATCTGCTGAAAGAGGCGGAGCCACGGGAAGACCCTCGGGTTTAGACATTGAGCAAATAGTGCCTGAAACCAGGGCTGAGCCAGCTACCAAGGAGCCAACAGGACTTCTCTCTCCTGGTAAGTCTCCAACCGAGCCAGGATCTGGAGCATCACGAGGTACAGGTAACTCCACCTAGACCAGTCCAGCCGAAAAGCATTGACCCCGATGACCTCGCAGTTTGGGAAGGGTGCTACATACACTGTAAGATGCCTCGACCACGCCGATGCAAAGAGGTCCACCTCTGGGCCAACTGAACGAGTCTGCGTTGACCGTCCATTCCGTGGATAGGGTAATAAACCGAGACAGGCCATCTGCCAGGAAGTTTGACACCTCCTGAACATGAACCCCCAGGAGAGCCAAACCCCGAGAACTCAGCAGACAAGTCACCCGAAGCGACCAACCCCAAAAAGCCAAGGACCGCATTGAACCCCCGCGGTTCAGACAATGAACCACCGGGGAGCAGTCCGAATAGAGCTGGATCATTGCTCCATGAGCAACATGAACGCTCTGAAGCGAATGTCACACTACCGCGAACTCCTGCACCGTGCTGTGAGCTCGACAGAAGGACGGACCCCACCGATCCTGGCCGGCCTGGTGAGCACTTGTCACAAAACCCCAGCTGAGAGACGAGGCATCCGTGCATACCAGTACATCGAACGAGGGTTCGGGGAGGCGTCACGGCACTGAACCCTGAAAAAACCTGTAGAGGAAGCCGGCGATGCAGCAGCTGACGCAAGGCTCCCGGGATCCGAACCCAGCGGTCGCGAGAGTGGCGGAAGGGATGACACCGAAGAAACCAAAACAGTCGCTGAAGCCAGATCTGACCCGACGGGTAGACCAGCACGGCGAAGTTCAGGCTCCCGCACAGCCGCTCTAACAACCAAGGTAGGCGGGACTGTAGCCGCAACAGCGTCGCAGGAGGGAGAGACAAGGAAGCGGTCTGAGAGTCCCACACAAGACCCTGCTAAGTCCAAACCTGAGAGGGAACCAAATGGGACTTATTCCAGTTCACCAAGACCTGAACCCGGCGAGCTGGGAAAGAACTAAATCCCTGGCGAGCAGACACGCAGACTGGCTGGGAGCCCCCACCAGCCAGTCGTCGAGGTAAGCCAGAACTCGAAACCCTAACATATGCAAACGGGTCACAATGACCCGGGTAAGGAGTATGAACACGCGAGGTGCCTGATTCAAACCGAATGGAAGGCAACGAAAGCGGTAAGTTTGTCGCCCCACAACAAAACCGAGACAGCCCACTGTATTTGGTATGTGTGATATAGTAAATATCTTAACTAATACCTCTTTATTAACTCACTTGGACATAAATAATCCTTTGTAATCATTGATATTATTAGTGTCCAATGGCTTTCTCGTTAGGGGTTGTGCCCGATAACTCCCACCCTGAGCAGAAGCTTCAGAGAGCCTAGGTTAAATACTTCTACCTCTGGCCTAACACTGAGCTTAGTTACACAACATTTCAAATTAATTTAGCTGTAATAAGTGATTGTACACAAATAGAGCTCTACAAAAAGCTGTATGATCCCTCATCATCCTTCACTACAAAACTGTGACTGAAATTCAATAAGGATAATAATGTAATAATAAAGGAAAAATTAAATAGCTTATACTGGTTATTTTAATACCCATAAGATATCTAAATATAAGTCCAAACATATGGACAAACTTACTTATCTGGATCACATCTTGGAGGAGGAGTGAAGAAGTATGGAATGATTGTAGTCGTCACAGTTGTTGTTTCTGTCAAGTCAACAAAATGCCAATAATTTAGAGAATTTTAAATTGATAAATAAACTCTTAATTTAAATTAAGATTAAAACTAAGTGCTACCTAATCAACTCAATGTAACCTGCCTTACATCATAAATACTAATCCGTCTTGCTATTATCAAACATTAAATTGATTAATGATTAATCTGTAATGATTAATGACTAACTTGATATCTGCCATATAAACTGCTGATATCTGCCACGTATAATGTTAAAAAAATTGTAGTCTGTCTCATTACTTACTTACTGTTTATTTAGATAAAATTACTATCTGCTGTTCTGTTGCAATTTCTGTTGTACCATTCAACATGTAATAATTGTCATTCTTTTCTTTCTTCTTCAGTTTAATTTCATGCTTTTGATCTCAATTAGTTTTTAGTCTTAGTTTTAAGTTTTTCTTACACCTTGCCCAAGATGCTGTGCATATTAGTGGCTTTAGGCATAGTATACAATATATACTTGCTCTATCTACAAATCCAACATTCGGTTTGTAACTCATTTTGTATATATGTACCTTTACCCAAATGAAAAATTATTATTATTATTATTATTATTAATATTATTATTATTATACAATTGTTTTGAATGGCAACTTTACTCGTTCATGTCTCGTGGAACACCACTCATGGTCATCAACCATGATGACTTAGGCCTTCAATACCTAGGCCATTGTATTATACAGAAGGCTCTTGTGTATGTGCCCTGCTAGTAACTTTCTTCTGCTGCTGCAAAATATTATTTGAAGTAGTACAATTTGACTTCTAAGATCTTCATTCTCTGTACTTACAGTAAGAAACTTTGCTTCATGAATCCTTATCATATCTTCAAGTAATCTGCCAAGTAACGTTCCTTTGTTTATGTTCTTTGGTAAAACCTCCCAAATTTTCCTGTGCTATTGACAGTACAGATTCACTCAAGTCTGCCTTGTAGTTAAGATTTTTGCCTGCTTCTGGTAGCTCTTGCTCTAAATTTCCCAGATATGCAAATCTCTTTTCAACCTTCATAACTTTCCACTTTCTATCACAGATATATTTATAGTATTTGAGACACACTCGCACACTTCTACCTACACTATAACTTAGATAATAATAATAAGGTAATCCTGGGGTAGAGGAGATGCAAGCTGACAAACTAAGAAAAGCAAGCCTGAATCAAAGGTGAAGCGAAATATAAAACTGCTAATGCACAAGATGGGTTATATAAAACACAATTGTGAAGCAAAAAAAAAAAAAAAAGCAATGGCCTTCCATATGACACAAAAGTACAAAGAATAACCAATGCCACTTACCTGTGCTAGGACACACAGTGTGGGTTTTAGGAGAAAGCAGTTGATCTAGGAAGTTCTAGGCAAGTGAATAAAAGAGGCAAGCACAGACCGCAGGTACTTTGGGTGCCATATGATGGAAGCAAAGGAAAATAGGGAAAGTATTATTCAAAATAATTAATTTATAATTAAAAAGTGACAAACCATCGTTTCTTATATATCATTTTTTTTTTTTTCAAGTAGTGGTTTGTTTTCTTTTGCCAGATTTTCTAGTCAGTTTTCCATGTTTGAGTAGATCTCTGATACCCAAGCTCCTGTCACCTCACAGAGAAAGACTGCTCTTAGTGCCTGGTAGGCCAGTGTGCGTCTCACAGACCTTAGGCTTAGCAATACCAGTGCACAAGCACCTGGAAACTATAGCAAATGAAAGGAATTTTGAGGTTATCTTGAGATGATTTCGGGGCTTAGCGTCCCTGCAGCCCGGTCCTCGACCAGCCCTCCTTTTTGTTACACACACCCAGGAAACAGCCCATAGCAGCTGTCTAACTCCAAAGTACCTATTTACTGCTAGGTAACAGGAGCATTTGGGTAAAAGAAACTCTGCCCATATGTTTTCGCCTCTACCAGGTATCGAACCTGGAACCTCAGGACTACGAATCCGAAGCGCTGTCCACTCAGCTGTCAGGTCTCCCCCCCCCCCTGTTAAAATAGGTACAAAGATTGCTCAAAATAATAATAAATAAAAATTTAAAATTAATCCATAATCTCACCACATGAGCAATAGTATCTAATCTTGTAGTCAAGACAGCTACCGCGGTCCTGGTCTTCATTGCTACATCGGAACCCATATCGAACATCACAGGTGGTCCCCTTATCTGCAGCAGTTTTCAAGCCAGTGGCCGTCTCCACACACTCAATGTCTGCCAGCTGACCCTATGGACATAAAAAATATTTTGAGGAAAATACAACACAATTCCCTTGCATAAAAAACCAGCGTTGAATGTAATGAAACGCCATTTTCTGGGCGAGTCCCGGAGGCTCCCTGGAGCTATCCCAGGCTGATATGCTAATGTCAGACTTTGGCATCAGTCATGTGTATGGAGTTCTTAGGCCTACCGGGCTGCGCGGACAATCGGCGCGGCAGTAAAGTGTGATATTTGCTTGTTTGCTTGTTTCTTTGGGATTGTAGGGAGTTTCTACCTCTCTGTTCGTTTTTTGTTTTAGTTTTTTACCATGTGGGGTTTGTTTTGTTAGGCCTACCTTTCTGGGTGCCTAACCCTGGTCGATGGCAGATAAGGAAAACCCCAACCACAAGGGGGGTTTTCCAGGGCCATTGCTCCCTGAAACCTCTCTGAAGGGGCCAGGTTCTGGCGCTGATCCCTGGTAGGTCCGAACTCCTTAGCTAATGTCCCGGTCTAATGTAACATACATTAGCCCGATAAGCTCCAGGGAGCCTCCGGGGCTCCCCACAGAAATTCCCATGTAAACATTGCCAAAATGCAAGAGAACACCAAAGAAAAATGGGAAACTGGGAGCCTGAGCAACACAACCACTCAGTAGCACATCAGTTAAGAACTGAAGCCGGTTTGCCCGTGCACCAGCACTGGATCCTCCCTCCCCCCAGCATGGGGTGGAGGAGGGAGGAAACTAGCGGTGGGCTAGTTTTACTAAGTTTTATTGTGTCTTTTGTTATTGGGAAAGTTTTTTTTGTCCTTTTGGGAGCTCTGGTTGTGTTTTTAAACCAGGCAGTAATTTTTTTTAATTCACCTATCTTTCTGGGTAATTTTTCTGGTGATGGCAGAGATGATATCCGTTAAGTGTAAAGTGATCACAGGCCATCACTCTCTGTGCCTTTCTATGGGGATTAGGGAGGGAGGGGGGCCAGGTTCTGGCTTGTGGTTCCCGGTAGACACAAAGAGCTCTGCAACCGATGACACTTGGTAATATGGCACTGAATCAGGGATCATAGCTCCAGGAAGATGATGGGGCTTCCCCACAGAAAACTGCTATCTTTATTATTTTGTTTTTGTTATAAAAACCTACCCTACTGATAATGAATTTAACTAATATCAGTCATGGATAGTAATTTTTAATTCCATATTTACACTCGGCTTAACTTTTTTAGACATGTAAGACAACAGTATCCACATAACAGAAACTATGACAAGAGAACACAAACTCTGCTGCAAAATAAACTACAAAAGAAAGGTTTATACAAATTTTAACAGGCAAACATGCTGGATATAGACTCACCTCCAGACAAAATTGGAATTTCTCTCGCAGTTCTTCAATTGTCTTAAATTCAGTATCACCATTAGACTGCCAGGGTTTAATATCATTGATCCATGGGGACCACGCATCACATGGTACCAGAGAAGTGGTTGGTCCTAGAGCTGCACACACACAAATATAAAGAAATAATAAGAAAAGTATTCTATACAAAAACAACTTATTTATATATTAAAATACAGTTAGTGATAACTGAAAATAATTATATATATATACAGTAATTACACAAATATAATTATGGAATAGTTACAAAATGAGAGCTATAAATGTGGTGTTCATCTGTATATAATAGTTTGTTATATGAACATTTATATATTATGATTGCCATTTTATTCCATCCATCTACCACTCTTTGCAAAAGGGAATTTTCCTCTTTTTTCAGCACTTTGGTTTTCTTAACACTTTCACCTTCTGACATATTCTGACAGAAAATATTCTGATGATGTCAAAATGCATCATCAATTGCTAGATTTTCAGTTTTCAGTTCTTGAGCCATAATACTTGCATCAACCAATCCAAAATCTTATGAAAATCACCATTAGTGTTTAGATACAGCATATCTAGTGCACGAGTGGATCAACCAGCGAGCTTCCCACTCACTCATAAAGCCTGACTTACGACAAATATTTGTATACTTATTGCTGTCACACAATCTATTATAAATTCACAATTTTCTTGTTTCTATAAACTAGAAAATGTATCTGCAAATATTTTGACACTAAATATGTAAATACAACCCAACAAATAACTTAGAATATGTAAAATGATTGTAAACATTTTTACATCACGGACAGACAATAATAGCTCTGAGTGTGCATATGTTTTTTGGTTTACAAATTGAAAGTAAAGTTTAAAAGTTATGTTGTTTTGCATTGAACAGCTGTATAGACGGATCACATGCACACATTTTTATATGTTTACTTTATATTTAGGATGAATAATAAATGAGGAATGTCAGAACGTTCATGAACATTCACATATTAATTTTGTCACACATAATCAATCAAAAGTTACACTTTTTGTTTTCTATCTACTCTCTAGAGAATTAATTTAGAAACATTTTGACACTAAAATTTTTAGTTACTGCATAACCCAACAAATAATTTAGAAAATAGAAAACGATTATAAACATTTTACGCATGGCTGAGCAGGGCCCCGGGAAGCCCAGAATGTTTATGAATACCTGGAGAGACTGGACCACAAAAGTCTTAATATTAATCGATGATAATTTTATTCTTAATAATGAAGATTTAATAAAATTCTTCCATATCACTTTTACAATTTTTGTAACAATTTTTAAAAAGTAGTCATTCCAACTTTTCTGGCTACAACACACTACTGCAGATGAAATAAAAGGACTGCATAAATATTACTTTTAGTGTTTCCAAAGCATATCTCGCCTTCTGCTACAAAATTTAATTCAAGCCTTTTTATAAAACAAACCATAACCCTTTTGTTTCCTTAATATCTTCAAACACCTATCATTCTAACACCTTTAACCGCAGACCAGTACTCACCTAATTGTGCTTGCGGGGGTTGAGCTCTGGCTCTTTAGTCACGCCTCTCAACTGTCAATCAACAGGTGTACAGATTCCTGAGCCTACTGGGCTCTATCATATCTACACTTGAAACTGTGTATGGAGTCACCCTCCACCACATCACTTCCTAGTGCATTAAACCACCAGTGTGGTTAACCACCAGTGTGGTTATGCCACTGTTCATTCAAGTAGTGTATAGAGGTCTCCTTTGGACATCAGCTGATACTTTTTACTTTCTTACAGTCATGCATATTGAAGAAATATAATAACTTACTGACAACAGTTGTTGAAATAGGTGTTGTTTCATCACATTCACAGAAGAAAGAGATTTCATAGTTATGGCAGTTTTTGGTATTTTGTATATTTAGGCACTTGAGACCTTCCACTGCATCACAAGTTATTATTTGTCCAAGATCAGCTGCAGGAAGCTTTGCTGTTGAGAAAACATTGTGATAAGCATCAGTGATAAGCATCAGTGATAAGCATCAGTGTCTTAGAGAATGAACTACAAGCTAACTTTGCTCAATTAATGATAACTTTGCACACTAATAAATATGAATACGGTGAGAGAAACATTCATACTAACTCTTTAAAAATAATTTTAACATAAAATGTGTCTGATAATTACATATTTTAAGATCAATATTAAAATATAACTGAATGAATATACCTGTCACTTAAACTATAAATCAGAATGCACTATTAAAACTGCACTTACTAATAACTTCTCTGCAGGATGCATTTACTGGGTTTTCACACACAAATTCTCTGCGAGTACGAAGCATGTTCAAACTCAATATTAGCCCTTCACTGTCCTTCTCCTTTTTGTAGTAGGGGGACCAGTCATTACACCTGACCATGCATATAATAATAATAATAATAATAATAATAATAATAATAATAATAATAATAATAATAATAATAATGAAAATAATAATATTAAATATATATATATACACACACACACAGTATATGCTGTTGAATATGACTGAAAAGGTAAGATTAATAATTCTAACATGAATTTTCTCAATATTTCTTATGTTTCTCTTTACTGTCAATGGTAATTGAAAAATCAATTCTCCAAAATTCATTTTTATTTCTAGTCTGACGCCTGAACGCGTTTCGTAATAACTTATTACATTTTCAATGACTTTAGTTTACACACCCAACTGTAACCCGTAAACGCACAAAATACATCCATACTTATACTCGCTTTGGGTGAGATGATATGGTACAAATGTTTTGGGTGAGGTGATTGACATTTGCACATGATAGAACATGAACCAATGAGTATAACAACATAAGAATGTAAGTAACTGCAAAAGGCCTATTGGCCCATACTTCCTCTTGATGCTTCTACATTGGTTCGGGGTCTTGAAGTGGGTAGAATATAGCTGTGCATTAATTGGCTGTTGATTGCTGGTGTTGACTTTTTGATGTGTAGTGCCTCGCAGATGTCGAGTCTCCTGCTATCGCTGTATCTATCGAAGATTTCTGTGTTGTTTGTTAAGATTTCTCTGGTAATGGTCTGGTTGTGAGAAGAGATTATATGTTCCTTGATGAAGCCCCTGTTGTTTATGCATTGTTAATTGTCTGGAAAGAGACATTGTTGTCTTGCCTATATACCGAGTTCTTTGGGGCTTACAGTCCCCAAGTGGGCATTTGAAGGTATAGACGACGTTGGTTTCCTTCAAGGCATTCTGCTTGGTGTCTGGAGAGTTTTTCATGAGAAGGTTGGCCATTTTTTTGGTTTTATAGTAAATTGTCAATTGTATTTTCTGATTTTTGTCTGTAAGGATAACGTTCCTATTAACAACATATTTCAGGACCCTTTCCTCTGTTTTATGAGCTGTCGAAAAGAAGTTCCTCTAAAATAGTCTAATAGGAGGTACATGTGTTGTGTTGTGTTAGTTGACTCCTCTGAAGAATCAACTAACACAACACATGTACCCTAACCAGTGCAACACCATTCCCTACCCAAGGCAAACAAGGGCTCCAAGCCCCAGCTGGCCCCATGGGCGAGGCAAATGCCTAGCAGCAAGAACCTGTATGAGAATGGTTCCTGAACGCCCCAGGGAAGATAATCCTGTCACACACTGACAGTACTCACAGGGCACTTAGAGGAGGAAGCCCCTAAGCGCATGCAGCCCCGGTACTGATGAGGAACACCTGGCCACCGCACAACACAAAAACACAGCAGTGAGCGCCACGAAGGCAAACACTGCCTAAGAAACTGAGGCCAGTGAAGCGTCTGTCCAGGATGCCATTAGCTTACGAACTGGAGTGCTAGACAGCCGGCGCAGTGAGGTCTGGGGCCCCCTCTTCCCCTCTCGGGGTGGGAAGGGCTGCGCGGAAGAGCAGCGCGGCAGTAAAGTGTGATGTTTGCTTGTTCCTTGGAATTATAGGGAGTTTCTACCTCTCTGTTCGTTTTTTTGTTTAGTTTCTTACCATGTGGGGTTTGTTTTGTTAGGCCTACCTTTCTGGGTGCCTAACCCCGGTCGTTGGCAGATAAGGAAAATCCCTAACCACAGGGAGGTTTTCCAGAGCCATTGTTCCCTGAAACCTCTCTGAAGGGGCCAGGTTCTGGCTCAAGGTCCCTGGTAGGTCTGAACTCCATAGCTAATGTCCCGGTCTAATATAACATACCGATAAGTTCCAGGGAGCCGTAGGGGCTCCCCACAGAAAAGGCTTTCAACAGAGTTCCACTTCAGAAGTTGTTCTTGAAACTGGAACATATTGGACGAGTGACAAGTATTTTTAGGGTATTATTGGACAAGTGACAAGTAGGCTTCTCACGTGGATGAAAAATTTTCCGATAGAAAAATGAGGGCAGTAATCAGAGACAATGTATTGGACTGGAGAAATGTCATGAGTGGAGTACCACAGGGGTTCAGTTCTTGCATTTTTAGCTAACAAGCATTTTAGCACGTCAATACTAGGCAGTCTCTTTGAAGCCCTTTGAAGCCAAGTATTTATTGGAGGAGGTATTTTGAGAGTCGTTGACTGAGCCTGCTAACTGACCTTCTCATGGTCATTCTAAGCTAGATTTAGAATTCTCTAGTGTCTCCATTTTTCTATTCATGGCTCAGCATGAATGGCTTGAAAGATCCTGATTCTGTATGTCTAGAGAGAACAATAGACTTGCCCAGGGAAGTGACCAACTGCCTGCTCAGAAAATGTTTTTCATCTGTGCTCAAAGCCTTATTTTCATAAAACAAATAATGTATCTAGAGCAAAAAATAATGGGCTAAAGTCACATGTGAAAGTTGAGTTCAGACAATGGTTATTACATTGAAGGAAATACTAGTCATTGTGATTATGGATGGGAGCACCAGTGTATATTTATATGTTAGGCTTATATTGAGGGCCCCCCCCCAACAAGGATGAATACAGATCCCCCAGGATGCAACCCCACAACAAGCTGACTAACTCCTGGCTACCTATTTACTGCTAGGTAAACAGGAGCACTAGGTGATAGGAAATGTGCCCAACCATTTCTATCTCGTCCGGGATTCAAATCTGGAATTTCTGAGCGTGAGTCAAGCACGAACCTGACTGTACTACCCAGACCTTAGATATATAACTACAACAATGAATATAAAAGTGTTTGCTGTAACTTTTGTAACTGTAACATGATTAACATGAAATAACATGAATTATTTCATAACAACATACCTTACAAGGCTTTCAATCTGAGAATAAGGATCGGTGGTGGTTGGAAGACCTGGTGTGTATTTTATGGTGGGAAGCCTACTGGTGACGTAAGAGGGTTCAGTTGTTAAGTCCTCACAATCATCTGAGCGGCTGCACAACAAATTGTTGTTCTGACACATGCACTGCTCACACTTGGAGACATTATACCACACTCCAGCCTACATGATTAAGCAAAAATATCCCTTATATTATGACATTTTTAACTGTTCAAGGGTAAAAAAGAAGAACAGAATTACAGACCTCTCAGTTACATTATATTTACATATGATTTGAATTCAATCAATATTTAATAATACTGTATACTGTACAGTGTTGCATTTCTAGATTAAATGCCTCTTAGCCTAACAGAAGGCAGACTCAAGTGTTTCCAGTTTTATCTAAATTAGTTGAAATGGACAGGCAATATTTTTCAAACAGAATAATAATGCATTAATTGCATCAAGTGCTATTATTATTGCTTATAATTAGAACATTATGTTATAAATTACAAATGTGTGTAAAGTTTAAATAAATAATATGCTTGCAAATCTTATCCACATATATTAAGAATAAATATCTAACTATATAAATTTAGCATACAGTATATCCAGCAATGCCTTCCCAGCATTAAACAAGGTACACATGTATTAAACAATCAGATATTTTATCATAACAAAGATTTTCCATAATGCAATATTGAATAATAAGCAGCTCAGCGCCATCATTTTATTGGCTCCTGCTAACATACCGGTAAGGCCTGTCCGTTAGACAGTCGACAATTGCAGTCTGCGATGGCAACACATCTTGCTTCACTAAACATGAAGAAGCCAGGTGGACACGTGTTCATCTCAGTCCTCTCAACACATCCAGGTGCACAGTCTCCATCAAGCTTAGGATACAAGATAGAAATATATATGTACATATCATATGTACACGTGCATAAATAACTAAGTACAATTTTGCCTGCATGATAAATACTACTCCTAAAGACCCACTAGAATCACACAAATGTCTCCAGACAGATACTAACAAAGAAACCCAAACCATCATTATTCAGTACAGTATAAAGTTATATGTACACACACACATATAAATGCACATCTGGGAACATATATAATGGTGAGAAGGCAGGACAACACGAGCATAGCTCTCATCCTGTAACTACACTTTGGTAATTACACTTAGGTAATTAATTACACTTCTTGGGGGCCTCATAGCTGAGTGGATAACGCTTGTGGGTCGTAGTCCTAATGGCTCGGGGTTCGATTCCCAGCCGAGGCAGGAACAAATGGGCAAAGTTCCTTTCACCTTGATTTTTACCTGTTTACCGAGCAGTAAATAGATACCTGGTAGTTAGAGAGCTGCTACGGGCTGTTTCCTGGGGATGCATGTGTAATTACCTAAGTAATTACCTAAGTGTAGTTACAGGATGAGAGCTACGCTCGTGGTGTCCCGTCTTCCCAGCACACTTTGTCATATAACGCTTTGAAACTACTGACGGTCTTGGCCTCCACCACCTTCTCCCCTAACTTGTTCCAACCGTCTACCACTCTGTTTGCGAAAGTGAATTTTCTTATATTTCTTCGGCATCTGTGTTTAGCAAGTTTATATCTATGACCTCTTGTTCTTAAAGTTCCAGGTCTCAGGAAATCTTGTGTGTGTGTGTGTGTGTTAGAGAGAAATATATGTAGTAGAAATATTAGAGGAAAAATAGATTGGTTAGAAAGGCGGGGTCCAAGAGCTAATAGCTCGATTCTACAGACACTAATAGTAAATACATATTAAAATACAATGTACACTGAATCAAGCAAACATGTAACAAAAACAGTATGTACAGGTTATCAAACTGAAAACACATTTTATATATATGGATGGGTGGATAATTGGATTGGTGAATAAATGAACAAGTGGGTAGTAAACAGATGGATGGAAGGATTGATAAATAGTTGCATGGGTAGATAGGTGAACAGATAAATGGGGAAATATGTGGATAGATTAATAGGAAGATAGATGGATGGTTGGGAAGACACTTAAGTGTATAAGTTAACAGAAGGACAGGTAGATAAATAAATGGGTACATTGAGAAATGGATGAACAGGTGTTCCTGAGTCTGCAGCTAAGCTGTTTGGAGTTGTCCATGTTCTGATTCTTTTCTGCCTTCTGGTGGTTGTTTTGCCTTTCTGTGGTAGTGGCCCATCATTGTACTGGCTGCATTTTTGGCTTCTTGGTTCACAGCTATTCCTGGAGCTTGGTTGTAGGATGGTTTTTCAAACTTCTTGGATATTTTTCAGCCACACTACATCTGCGTCCCAGCAGGCACAACATCCAAGAGTGTTATCAATGCTAATTCAACATTAAATAAACATTGATGACATTGTTTCAGCATTGAATTGGTATTGCTCTTGAATATTGTCCCCATTGGGGTGCTGCTGTTGTTTTCCCTCTAGCCCTGATTTGCAATTATCTCCTATGGGTCAAACCTTTACACCATATGATTCTACTAACCCTTGGCTTTTCTTTCTGAAAAGTTGATATTCTATGCAAAGACACAGTTGTAAATAATCTAGGAAAACTACTCTGGGACTCTTCCAGAAATCAAGTGTTGAATGTAACAAAAAACCTATTTCCAGTAAGCCTTTCAGTAGCTCCTCATTCCTGCCCTCTATCTTTTCCTTAAGGGTTCTGAGGTTTCATTCTGGCAACTTGTGAGGATGGCTGGGACTCTAGGTGACCTGTGCCACTATCTGGTAGTGGTTGGGTGCACAGGGCTAGGCCAGCTAGCCCACAGCAACAACTGTTTGCACCGTTTAGCTCAGAACAGATGCATTTCCGATGGTTCCTTTTATATAAAAGGGGTGACGCCGAGGAAAATAAGACTCGCGTCCCTACCTAGGGACTCTAGGTGACCTGTGCCACTATCTGGTAGTGGGTGGGTGCACAGGGCTAGGCCAGCTAGCCCACAGCAACAACTGTTTGCTCTGTTTAGCTCAGAGGTTGCTATACTACCTCAAGTAGTTACTAGTTTGTTATATTTAATCTTTCAGGAAGGGTTTGTCTTGGTTTTGGGAATAATCTCTGATCCTCAGGCTCCTCTCACTTTGTGGAGTGTAATGGCTGGGTTTATAAAGTTTAGCTTTTGTGTAAATGTGTAAAATGTCTTCTTCTCTTCTTTAACTCATAGTTAAAATACCAGTTTGTTTTATTTGTGTTAATTTTTATATTTCATTTGTGTTTGAGAGTATGTAGTAGTAAATGAGTATGATTCTGTGTTTTCGTAAAAGGAGCCCCTCTGCACTCAACGAGGCAGAGAGGGCTGAGACTCCACACACACAGGTTGTATGGTGAGTGCTCATGAGGTACCCACCTCACTGTGCGAGGTTATTGACCTCCATTTATATCTGAGTGTCTGGAACTGTAATCGTTAATTGGGTGAGTGAGAAATTATTCCTCGTTAGTGTATTATCCTTTTTCCTGTGTTTAAATAAATGTAATGCACGCACTTTGGTTGTTTCTCGAGTCCTGCCAATGTAAAAATATTGTACCGGCTCCACGGGGTCACTCTTTTGTGTTTCAAGTGTTTATAAATACAGACTGGTTCTACATCCCTGGTTTAATAGCTATACTATAAGCAGGTAAGGATGGTTTCGTGGGTTCGTACTCTAGAGTACGGCTTACCAGTCCGTGCCCTTACAAGAGGGCCAGATTGTGGCCTTAACTCCTGGTAGATGAGGGTATTGTGCAGGATGTAGTAGCTGTCATTTGAGATCAGGAAGCTCAGTAAGTTTTGAGTTCCTTATTAACATTTACTGGCTGACTAATTAAGTCAATGTGTGTATAAACACTCCTGGGTTTACTGCACATTCAAAATTTAAACATCTATGACAGAAAGATTTGAAGTTATGAGATTAATTAAGTATTACCTTGATTACTGCACTTTGAATTCACTTGCAAAGTCTATCATTATTCATGACAAGTATGCAAACTACAAACTTGATTTTTCTGGAGATGGTAGAAACTTACCAGGCATTCACCATGTTGTTTAAGTAGTGACTGATGGTACATGCATATCCTTAAACATGGCATTGCACACTGTTCGTAAGTCATGGCAGGGGGGCACTCTGTAAACAATATTACATCATTAATTCACAATCACTTGAACAAGTTGCAATGCAACATTTTTTTCTGATACATCAGTAGAAAAATGAGACAAATGGATACATGTTTAAATTTCATAACATCCTTGGGACATTATATTTCTCACATCTCTGGACAATTTCAATGTTTGCCAACAACTTTATCATAGATCTCTGTCAACCAAATTACACACAGATACAATAGACAATTTTCTCAACTGTATGAACACCTAAATGCTCATACAGTTGTGAATTTGGTGATATAGGCATCAGCATAGGCAATGCTAATGCTTATATTGCTAGTAAGAACAAAAATCACTCATATATTTACTTACCAAATATGAAAAAATATATCATTCCCTCTTACACTATGTACAATAACTAACAAAACACCTCACAACTCTCATTCTCATCTTACTAGCAACATTAACCCTACACAATAAACAAATAGTTTTGCTGCTATTACACTCTATACACAGGTTATATATAAGTATTGGCATGTTTTGGTCACCATAACGAACCACTAAGTTGGTATTGAGAGTCGAAAAGCAACGAGGAGTTACCGCCACACACCAGCCAGCACCTCACTGCCACTCCCTCAACACACGCACTAAACTTTCTCCCCCAACAATACCAGTTGTGGTGTTATTACACTATATACAGACGTTATATATAAGTATGAGTATATTTTGTTCACCACAACTATACAGCTAAGCTGATATAGTTAGTTCAGGCACTAAGAGTCGTCGCTATACACAGATGGCGGCTGGCGGCTCCCTCACTCTTTCAAGGTCACACGCACTAAACTTTCTCCCCCAACAATACCAGTTGTGGTCTTATTACACTATATACAGACGTTATATATAAATATCTACATGTTTTATGCACCGTAACTGTACACCTAAGCTTGTAGAGCGCCCAAAGAGCATAGTGGCCAATATAAAATGCCACAGAAAATATGAAAGTTAGTGTCAGACTACACAGTAAAATTTCAGTTAACAGCTTCATTGAATCAATGGAAAACAAACTTAGATTGAGAGTTCATAACTATGCCTTATTCAAAGGAAAAACAAAAAAAACCAGCGTTGAATGTAATGAAACGGCATTTTCTGGGTGATTCCCAGAGGCTCCCTGGAGCTTATTGGGCCAATGTATTTTATATTAGACCAGGATATTAGCTATGGAGTCCAGACCTACCAGGGACCATGAGCCAGAACCTGGCCTCTTCATTAAGGTTTCAGGGAGCAATGGCCCTGGAAAACCCCCCTGTGGTTGGGGGGTTTTCCTAATCTGCCATCGACCAGGGTTAGGCACCCACAAAGGTAGGCATAACATAACAAACCCCACATGGTAAGAAACTAGCAACAAAAACCAAACAGAGAGGTAGAACTCCTTTCAATTCCATAGAAACAAGCAAGCAAGCAAACGTAACACATTACCGACGCGCTGCTCGTCTGCGCAGCCTTCCTCTCCCCTCCTTCGAGAGGTCGGAGGAGGGGCCCCCCCCGGACCTCACCGTGCCGGCTGCATAGCAATCCAGTTCGGAAGCTAAGCTTTAACCAACGCAAAAAAATGCCGACTGGTGGGAGGGAGGATTGCCAGGGAGCCAACGGGTCTCACCCAGAAAATTACGTTTCATTACATTCAACACTGGTTTTCTGAGGGAAGCCCCTATGGCTCCCTGGAGCTACATACCCAAAGAGAAGGAAAAGAAAGGGCAAACCCAGGAGGCGGCCGCCATAAACTCCTCAATGTGAAGTCGAGACAACTGGAGGTCCAAAGGAACACAAGAATGCCCAAGAGCAGACACGCTCACCAATTAATGGGCAGCCAGGACCCTGTTTGACCTCCAAAATCCCCACGCCTAAATATTAGCCCAAGACACATTAAAAACATGGCAGCCAAAGCTGCAAACGTACGAACGTCATGGGCATGAGGATAGACCGCAGGCTGGCAACACTTAATAACCCTACGGACGACCTGGGAGACCCGAGTCCCAGTACAGGGAATGAGGAAAACCGGATCAGCCCAAAGCGCATCCCCAGCCACCACAGCCGAGGCATGCAGGTAACGGCGAAGAGCCGCAACTGGACACAACACATGATGCACAACCCAGCTGAACCAACCAAGCATCAACAACCCAAGGACCCCTTTGGAAAGCAGCCGTCTCGTTCTTCGCCAGAAAAGATGGAGAAGGCTGCAAACGTACAAACCTACCACCACGACCAAAGGAGCAGAAACCCCTGCGCTGGAGGAGCTCAGGAAGCTCCCCGACCTGACCCCCCAGAGGCCAATGCCAACAAAAACAGGGCCTTGGAAAAACAATCTTGAACCGAAGGGTCCACCACAAACTGAGGAGAGGAAAGATAAGAGAGCACCCTGACCAAGGACCAGGACGGCTCAGGCGGCGCATGAGAAGGCCAGAGGTGAAACAAAGCACAAGAAAGCGTACGGAATGGGGCAGATGTGACGTCCACCCCAAACGCAAGAAGGAGCGGCTCCTCCAGCGCCGCATGATATGAGGCGACAATAAGAAGCATCAATTGATGGTCAAGAAAAATCCAAGAAAGGACATGACAACCCGATCCAAAAAAAGAAGACAACCTACAAAGAGCAAGAAAATGGCGAAAAGAATGTCAGGAAACTTCATACGGTCGCCAAGATGAAGTCGCAGGTTGGACATCAGCTACAAAGCCACCTGATCACCAAAGAGATGGTGATACACCCGCATCAAAAAGACCAGACGCGAAGAGCAGAGGAGAAGGCCGAACCAGCCACGTACCGGACTGGTCTGACCTGCCGAAAGAGGCGGAACCGCTGGAAAACGCTCCGGGTTCGGACATCGAGCAAGCAGCGCCTGAAACCAAGGCTGGGCCAGCCACCAAGGGACCACGAGGAATACCCTCCCTTGGAAGGACTCCAACCGAGCCAGAACCCGAAGCAACAGCTGGTCCAGGGGGGAAGAGGTACAGGTAACTCCACCTCAACCATTCCTGCCAAAAGGCATCCACTGCGAACGCCTTGCAGGCGGAGAAGGGCGCCACATAGAATGGGAGATGGCGAGACCCTGCCGACGCGAAGATGTCCATGTCCGGGAGCCCATACGTCCAGTAGAGCCAATGAAATGATTCGGCATCGACCGTCTATTCCGTGAACAGGGGAATGAACTGAGACAGGCCATCTGTCTGGACGTTGTACACTCCCTGGACATGAACCACACAAAGAGCCAAACCCCGAGAATCCAGCAGACAAGCCACTCAAAGGGACCAACCCCATAGAGGCAAGGACCGAAGAGAACCCCCTGTGGTGCATTCAATGAACCACTGGAGAACACTCCGAATGGAGCCGGATGGTAGAGCCCCCCCAGTGACCCGAATCCTTCGAAGCACCAACCACACTGCCGCAAATTCCCGAACCGTGCTGCGAGCCCGACGGAAGGACGGACCCCACCATCCCTGGCCGGCACGGTGAGTAATAGTCACAAAGCCCCAGCCGAGAGACGACCCGTCTGCGAACACATCGAGCGAAGGCTCGGGTAGGCGCCAAGGCACTGAACCCCGAAAACGCCAAAGAGGAAGCCGGCGATGCAGCAACCGACACAAGGCCCCCCGAGGACAAACACAACAATCGTGAGAGAGGCGGAAGGGACGTCTCCAAAGGAACCAAAACAGACGCCGAAGCCAAACCCGACCAGACAGGTAGATCAGCACAGCGAAGTTCAAACTTCTGCACAACTGTTCGAGCAACTGCCAAGTGACCCGGGACCCCCTCAGAAACAGCCGAAGGTGGGACCGCAGCCGCAACAACGCCTCTGGAGGGAGAGACAAAGAAGAGGTCCGAGAGTTCCAAACAAGACCCAGCCAGGTCCGAACCCGGGACGGAACCAGAAGGAATGTCCTCCAGTTCACCAGGAACCCGAACCCAGCAAGCTGGGAAAGAACCACACCCCTGGCGAGCAGACAAGTGGACTGACTGGGAGCCAACACCAGCCAGTCGTCGAGGTAGGCCAGAAACCGAATCCCGAGCAGACGCAGACAGGTCACCAAGACTCGGTAAAGATGCATAAATATGCAAGGTGCCAAAATACAAACTAAGGAAGGCAATGAAAGCGGCAACTCTGAAGCCCCACCACCAACTGTGCCAGTCCCAGAACCTTGGAGAGGAATGTGCCAAGAAGTGACCCGGAGGTCCAGGGACTCCATCCGGGCACCCGGCCCCAAGAGAAGTTGGACCAGAGACAACAGTAAAGTGTGATGTTTGCTTGTTTGCTTGTTTCCTTGAGATTGTAGGGAGTTTCTACCTCTCTGTTTGGTTTTTTGTTTTAATTTTTTACCATGTGGGGTTTGTTTTGTTATGCCTACCTTTCTGGGTGCAAACCCCGGTAGATGGCAGATAAGGAAAACCCCAACCACAAGGGGGTTTTCCAAGGTCATTGCTCCCTGAAACCTCTCTGAAGGGGCCAGGTTCTGGTGCTGGTCCCTGGTAGATCTGAACTCCTTAGCTAATGTCCCAGTCTAATATAACATACATTAGCCCAATAAGCTCCAGGGAGCCGTGGGGGCTCCCCACAGAAATGCCATGTTATGGAATGTGGAATTGGAGAACATTGACCCCACACAACCAATAAATTATGTGAGAAATCTTTAATGAATTCTGACAAAGAAAGGGATCTAGGGGTTATCTTGAGATGATTTCGGGGCTTTTAGTGTCCCCGCGGCCCGGTCCTCAACCAGGCCTCCACCCCCAGGAAGCAGCCCGTGACAGCTGACTAACACCCAGGTACCTATTTTACTGCTAGGTAACAGGGGCATAGGGTGAAAGAAACTCTGCCCATTGTTTCTCGCCGGCGCCTGGGATCGAACCCAGGACCACAGGATCACAAGTCCAGCGTGCTGTCCCCTCGGCCGACCGGCTCCCTAGTGGTTCTAGGGAGCCGGTCGGCTCCCTAGAGCTCCCTAGTATAGTGGGTGGTTCTAGATAGAAAACTGTCACCTGAGGACCACATTAAGAACATTGTGCGAGGAGCCTATGCTACACTTTCTAACTTCAGAATTGCTTTTAAATACATGGATGGAGAAATACTAAAGAAATTGTTCATGACTTTTGTTAGACCAAAGCTGGAATATGCAGCAGTTGTTTGGTGCCCATATCTTAAGAAGCACATCAACAAACTGGAAAAGGTGCAACGACATGACACTAAGTGGCTCCCAGAACTGAAGGACAAGAGCTACGAGGAGAAGTTAGAGGCATTAAATATACAAAAACTAGAAGATAGTAGAAAAAGAGGCGATAGGAACACTACATTCAAAATAGTAACAGGAATCGATAAAATTGACAGGGAAGAATTCTTGAGACCTGGAACTTCAAGAACAAGAGGTCATAGATTTAAACTAATGAAACAAAGCTGCCGGAGAAATATAAGAAAATTCCCTTTTGTAAACAGAGTGGTAGACGGTTGGAACAAGTTAGGTGAGAAGGTGGTGGAGGCCAAAACCATCAGTAATTTCAAAGCGTTATATGACAAAGCGTGCTGGGTAGACGGGACACCACGAGCATAGCTCTCATCCTGTAACTACAGGGATGCCTGATTATCAGCTGAAGCGGAATGCTGAGCTCAGATGCACATTCTCTCAGAACCCATGGTGAAACTCCATCTGGGCCAACTGTTTTGTTCTTACTTAGCTCCGGGAGCATATTTTCCACTTCATCTCTAGACACCTCTATACACTATGTTGTTCTCTGGAATTCTTATTGTGTCTGGTTCTCTGAAGATTTCATTTTGTACAAACACACTTTGGAACTTTTCGTTTAATGTTTTACACATTTCCTTTTCATTTTCTGTGAATCTATTTCCTATTTTCAACCTCTGGATATTATCCTTTGCCTGCAATTTGTTGTTTATGAATTTGTAGAATAGGCCCGGTTCTGTTTTACATTTATCCGCTATCCCTTTTTCAAAATTTCTTTCTGCATTTCTCCTTACTGTCATATAGCTGTTTCTCGCATCTTTGTATCGCTGGTATGTTTAGGAGTTTGGCCTCTTCCTATATTGATTCCATTTTTGTCTTTTGGTCTCTGGCCCTTTTGCAATTTCCGTTGAACTAATCCTGTTTTCTGGCCCTGCATCTCTGTTTTGGTATGAATGTTTGTGTGCCTTCATCGTATATTTTGCAAAATTTGGCATACATTTCACTTACTTCCCTGCCTAGCAACAACTCTGACGAATTACACTCATTAAAATTTTTTCGAAGTTCCCCATCGTGACCTCTCTTGAAATCGAGTTTATCAGCTGTTTCAATGTCCCCATTTTCTTCTAGATGATATCTTAAAGCATATTTAATGACTTCATTTAATATATTTCCTTCAATTTTCGTCTCTGATAATGCGACAATATCTGGGACCCTAAGCTGAATTATATCTTGCAACTCCAAAGTTTTTGACCTCACTCCGTCTATGTTGGTATATACAATTTTCAGGAACATGTTCCCTTTCCCTTTGCTCTTTACTTCCCCTTCCACTAATGATTTTGTTGCCTTTTTTTATGTACCATTTCACAAGCTTTCCAGTCCTTGACACTTTGTAGCAAAAAGAATTTCTGTCTTCTTCATTTCTATCCGCATTGTTGTGGTTGTGGTGATGTCTTGCTTGTTTCCTTGTTTTTGATTGGGGAGTTCTGCTTGCTAGTTCGGTTTTCAGTTTGCAATTTTTGACCAGCAGTAGTTTGTTTTGGAATGCCTACCTTTCTGGGTGCCTGACCTGGTAGATGGCAGACAAAGACTGCTTCCAATTACATGGAGGTGTCTAGGCCATTGCCCCTCGTGCCTCTTCCTAAGGGGGCCAGAGGTTCTGGCTCTGGTCCCCGATAGGCCTAGAACTCCATCGATTGACTGGTGCCACAGTCTAATATATCCATATCAGCCTGGATAGCTCCGGCAAGCCTCCAGGTCTCACCCAGAAAATAATGTTTCATTACATTCAACGCTGTTTTTTTTCTTGAGCACATGTCGGGGTATGTCAGCAATTAACAGTTAGCAGTCTAAGGGTTAAATTTCATACTAATGTGTATGCCTAATGACAAGATAATAATATAAACTCAGCCACATTACAGGGACAGAAAAAACAAACAAAACAGTGGTGCCTCAAGACTTACTGTCATTTAGCATAGGCAGCTCTGTAGTCGCATTAGTAATTGATATATCACCGTAGGTACTGGTAGTGGAGATTTCTGTAAGAGTATGTAGTAATTACAGAACAAGAAACATAAAGACTCCTTATAACACTGATTATATTAATAAAAATCAGACTTTGGGAACATATAAGAATCTCCTTTCTGAGCAAGACACTTGGATGCTGCCTGTGGGAAGATCTCTGAATTTCCCACTGGACAAGATCATGAAAGTCATAACAAGATGACATAGTACATCAGTTCACCAGTGATCTTTTCATATACCACTGTTCAGTCATACTGAGTATAGGAAGGCACTGGAGGTAAGCTCAATTTAAACCCGAGTAACTACAGAAAATTCATTCATGACTACTGACATCTTTCCAAGCCTTACTTGGTGCTTGGTGATCTCTATAAGTGCTCTAATTAAATCTGATACCATTTTTCAATTTTGCTACAAATTACCCACTTAAATTTATCTATTAGATTAAGGACCTGCTCGAAACGCAATGCGTGTTAGTGGCTTTACAAGATTGTAAAATCAGCAATGCTATGTACTCTCATAAACCCAATGTACCTTCTTGTATACTGTATATATAAATAAATAAATAAATAAATAAATAAATAAATAAATAAATAAATAAACTTCTAGTTTCCACCAGGCCATCTCACCTGACTGGCACCAGATGGAAGCATCCTTGCCAATACCAGGGTGCAGATACTGTAACTCGGTACACAGAGAAATCAGTTACTCAGGAAAATATAGGAACAACTGTGTGTCTTGATCAGAAAGAAGCTTTTTATATTTTTTCAAAACTTTATTTCTAAGCTATTCCACTCTGATGCTACCTAAGGTATGTTAAATGTATATACAGACATTGAAACAAAAATGAACATGAATGGGGTGAACATTAATTTAAGCTGCATAGTGAAGTTATATTGCATGAGATTTGAGATCCTGATTGTTAAGAAGCATACCTAGGCGAACATCATTAGAGTGCACACACACACACAGGCAGCACAGTTAGAAAATCCTGGAAAGACGGAAGGTGGCGCAGGTGTGATTGAATTGGCAGAAGCTTCGAACTTCAATGTCATAACTAGACATCACCAAAAAAGAAAGACTTGAGAGTGGCAGACTTCCAAAGGTTATTTTTCATAGGATTAAACATGTTACTAGGTCAACTGGACCATTCTTAAAAAGCAGCCGAGATGTATACACCCTGATGCAGGGCACCATCGTGCTAGGGTTAAGGATTCTTTGATAGATGTAATAAAACCCATGAGCAACACACCAGAAATAAACCTCTTTGGTATCCCCACAGTCAAACTAAATCTGTGCAAACACTCCATGCAAAGAAAAAGACCCAGTTTTTGGAACTCATTCCCTGACGAATTAAAAAAACCAGCATTGAATTTAATGACATGGCATTTTCTGGGTGAGACCCAGAAAACTTACTTTGTCCAGGTCTTCTTGAAGAACATGACCATCATCTAAGTTTCTTGTCTTCCTAGTATCTTAGCATCATCAGCAAACATGTTCATATAATTCTGTATTCCTTCTGGTAGGTCATTTATGTAGACAATGAACATTACCTGTGCAAGAACTGAACCCCTATGATGCTCTGCTTCTTACATTTCTCCAGTTCAATATACAGTATTCCAGTCCATGTTATGGAATGAGGGGTCCTGGTAGTACAGTCGGGTCAGTTCTCGAAGTACAATAAAGAATTCTGGGTTCAAATCCAGAGCAAGACAGAAATGGTTGGGCACATTTCCTTTTCACCTAATGCCACTGTTCACCTAGCAGTAAGTAAGTACTCAGGAGTTAGTCAGCTTGTTGTGGGGTTGCACCCTGGGTGGGGTCAGTAATTCAGCCTTGGGAAAGGGGGGGCAAAGGACCGCGATAAAAGCCAAATATGTACGAATACACTCTGGCTTCTTGTCCCCCCAATACAAGTGAATTAATTCCCTATGATTACTGCCTTCATTTTTCTATGTGTTAGAAAAATTTTCATCTGTGTTAGAAGCCTACCTGTCACTCCTCCAATATGTTCATTTCCAGAACAACCTCTTATGTTGGACTCTGTTGAAAACCAGATAAATGCAGTCAACTCAACCATCTCTTTCCTGTACAATCTTTGTGGATTTGGCAAATAGAAGCTTAGCAAATTCATTACACAAGATCTTCCAGATTGAAAATCATACTGTCTGTCTGTCTGTTATATAATTTTTCTCCAGGTTTTCTACCCATTTAGTTTCAAATATTTTTTCCAATATTTTGACTACTACACTTGTCAGTGATACAGGTCTATAATTAACAAGGTCTTCCCTGCTGCCACTTATGTAGACTGGAACTATGTAAGCCCTTTTTCCATATGTCTGCCAAGACTCCTGTACACAAAGATGCCTGAAAAATCAGTTGAAGTAGAATGCTGAGCTCAGGTGCACATTCTCTCAGAACCCATGGTGAAACTCTATCTGGACCAACTGATTTGTTCCTTTCTAGCTCCCTGAGCATATTTTCCACTTTGTCTCCAGACACCTATATGTGCTCTGTTGTTCTCTGGAATTCTTATTGTGTCTGTTTCTCTGAAAATTTCATTTTGCATAAACACACTTTGGAACTGTTCATTTAATGTTTCATACATTTCCTTTCAGTTATCCATGAATCTATGTCCCATTTTCAACCTCTGAATTTTATCCTTTACCTGCAATTTGCTTTTAATGAATTTATAGAATACACCTGTGTATATCATTTGTTGTGTCCAGTAGTTTTGTGCCTCCTTGCCACCTGTTCTGTTTCGGTGTACATGCTATTTGTTGATTTAGTCTCCTTCATTCCCTGTTCCAGGGCATATTTTTTCCCCAGGTAATCTACAATGTAATTAAAGCTAGCCAACTTGTGGCTTTAATCACCATTTTTGCTAATATGTTGTGGCCTGATATTCAGGATTGAGGATTTTGGAGAGCTAATATGGTCCTTGGAGCTAATGATTTTATCAATATTCCTGGTCCCATTTTGACTTGTGTTGCCCAAGTAACACCAAGGCCTGGTGTTACTTCTTCAACTTTGTAGCAACTGCCACTCCTTCCTGGTATGTTTCCTTTTTTCCTTCTTCTCTATTGTTAGCTTCAAGGGGCCATCAAGATGCTCTCATAGAAAACCAGTATTAAATAGAATGAAATACTCCATTCTAGGTGAGCTGTGGTGGCTCCCTGACTCCCTCTCCCGCCCTACCAGGTGTGTCGGTTCATAGTTCATCAATAACAGACTGAACATGTTGCATGGGACACTGGCTTGGTGCATGCATGCTAGGGCACTTGTTTCATTCCCAGTTTGGTTAGAATCTTCTCATTGTGAGGGACTCTTTTGTTGAATCTATTGGCTGTTTTGGTGCTTTATTTTCATGAATGCTCACTTTCTTGGAGAGGGTGAGTATAAAACTTCCCTGTTCCCTGTGCCTTTCAAGGGGCCAAATTCTGGCTCTGGTCTCTAATAGGCTAATAAGATTCCCATGACTGATGTGGCTAAGTATAGGGAAGCTATATCACTGATATAGGTTAAGGAAGCCACTGGAGCTCACCCAGAGTGGGGTGCTTCATTACATTCAGTGCTGGTTTTTAAGGAACATAATTACCACATTAAAATCAGATCCACTGTATACAGCATTTATATTCTCTTTCATTTGATTTTATTAAAAATTACCATTTACATTCCCCAAGAATATTTCACCTTCACCACAGTCAGTGCAACTCAATTGCAAACTTACCTGTTGTAGATCGTGTAAATTCTCCCTCATCGGAATCGGTCAGTTCACCACACTCGCAGAGGTAGCGTACTTCATAATTCTGGGAACAGTAACGGCACAAGAACTGAATATGCATCTTAATCAATTTGAACAATATGAATCTAAAATACATGACAAAAATATAAAAAGTACAAATGCATTCTGTAAATTCTAAAATGTTATTATTAAATTAAATACAGATGGCTCTCACTGTGTGCAAATTAGTGATCATAAATAGGTGTAAGAACTTGATGTAACCAAGCATTTCCTTTGATGCATGACACTCATATATTATGCTCTGATGTTAGGACTCCTCACAATTATTTTACCCTCCTCTCCTTACTGAAGATCCAATGAAGAGGACTGGTAGCCTGGAGTGCAAACAGATGTCTACAGCCTAGCCTATCCCCCAGAGACAAGGCAAGTCTACAGATGCCAGTTAAACTAAATTATTTAATTACGGTAGTCAGTTTACAAGGGCATGACCTGTGGTTATACAAAACTAACCAAAGACCACAGTGAGTTAGAGGTCAACTGTACAGAGAGCAAACCAACAAACACCAATTTTCCTGGAAAAGTCATGAGATGATGACGAGTGAAGTGGGGATATAACAGCAAGTAATTACCCAAGTATAGATACAGGATGAGAGTTATGCTCGTGGTGTACCGTTTTCCCAGCACTTTTTGTCACATAACGCTTTGACACTACTGACGGTTTTGACACTACTGATACTATTGGGATTTAGGTTCCTTGCATCTTGTTCTTTATGGTCCTCAGGAGATAGTTTTCTATCTAGAACCACCCCTAGATATCTTTCTTGATAAGAATTAATTTGTAAAGACTTTTCACATAATTTGTAGGTTGTGTGTGTGGATTAAGTTCTAATATTCCACATTCCATAACATAGCAATTATTCACATTAAATTCCATTTGCCAAGTGATGGTCCATACACTTATTTCTTTCAAGTCTTCTTGATGGGTGTGACAATTGTCTAAGTTTTTTATCTTCATTATTATCTTAGCATCATCAGCAAACATGTTCATATAATTCTGTCTTGCATCTGGTAGGTCATTTATGTAGACAATGAACATTACCAATGCAAGAAATGAACTTTGTGGTACATACTCCACTAGTAACATTTCTCCAGTCCGATACATTGCCTCTGATTACTGCCCTCATTTTCTGTCAATTAGAAAATTTTTCATCCATGTTAGAAGCCTCCTTGTCACTTAAATGTTTGGTACCAAATAGTGAATAAAACAAAAAACCAGCGTTGAATGTAATGAAATGCCATTTTCTGGGTGAGCCCCGGAGAATCCCTGGAGCTTATTGGGCTTAGTATGTTATATTAGACCGGGACATTAGCTATGGAGTTTAGACCTACCAGGGACCAGTGCCAGAACCTGGCCCCTTCAGAGAGGTTTCAGGGAGCAATGGCCCTGGAAAACCCCCATGTGGTTGGGGTTTTCCTTATCTGCCATCGACCGGGGTCAGGCAGCCAGAAAGGTAGGCATAACAAAACAAACCCCACATGGTAAAAAACTAAAACAAAAAAGCGAACAGAGAGGTAGAAACTCTCTACAATCCCAAGGAAACAAGCAAACTAGCAGACATCACACTTTACTGCTGCGCCGATCGTCCGCGCAGCCCTCCCCGCCCCGAGAGGGGGAGGGGGGAGCCCCGGACCTACCGAGCCGGCTGACTAGCATCAGTTCGGAAGCTAAGCTTCAACTAACATGAAAAAACCGCCAACCAGTAGGAGGGAGGGTTTCCAGGGAGCCTCCGGGGCGCACCCAGATAATGGCGTTTCATTACATTCAACGCTGGTTTTCTGTGGGGAGCCCCTACGGCTCCCTGGAGCTTCATACCCAAAGAGAGGAAAGGAGAAAGGTGCTGACCCGGGAGGCGGCCGCCACAAACTCCGCAACGCGAAGCCGAGACAACAGGCTGCAACCTGCGACCCAAGGCAACAAGAACGCACAGGAGCAGACGCGCATAAAGAATGGGCGACCAAGAACCTGTGCGACCCTCAAATCCCAGCGCCCGAAATGAGCCCTAGACGTCACCAACACAGCAGCAAAAGCTGCAAACTTCTGAACAACACGGGCGCAAGGACAGACCGCAGGCTGGAAGACTTAAAAACGTAAGCTGAAAGAGAGCCCCGTTACCTAACGCCCCGTAACTCTGATGCTCTTATTGGTCGCCCAGATGGTATCACAGTGAATCCCTGGAAGAATGGCAAGCAGTTGGTATGGGACTACACGTGCGTATCAACCCTGGCTAACACCTACATTAACCTCAGTGTTGCACAACCAGGTGGCGCTGCCACCCACAGGGAAGCAGCCAAATCCCGTAAGTATAGAGAACTGGATCACCACTACAATTTTGTCCCCATTGCTTCTGAGACACTCGGCACCTGGGGTAAAAGTGCTACCAGTTTTTTGAAGGAACTGGGTTCTAGGCTCATTGAAACAACAAGGGACCCAAGAGCTGCAAGCTTTCTTTTCCAGCGCCTCAGTGTGGCGATACAGAGGGGAAATGCGCACTGCATCCAGGGTTCCTGCCCGCCATCTGAGGAGCTGGAGGAATTTGACAACCTATGATAACCATCTTTGTAACCCATATGTAACTCCTTTTTTGTAACAAAGTTCAAATAAAGTAAATATATATGTGTACATACAAAAGAATGGGGGTGGTAGGAGAAGATAATATTAGTGTTCAGTGAGAAACCACAAGGTCTCCTCTGAATACTTTTTATTTTCTTCTCCGAGGCTATGGGTCCCCACATTGGCACCAGAGGTGGTACCCTCACAAACATAAACCATACATACATACATATATATATATATACATATATATATATATATATATATATATATATATATATATATATATATATATATATATATATAAAAAAAAAAAATAAAGAAAAGAAAATGACAAGCCGCCGATCAGTGGCAGAGAGCACCATGCCGGCCAGATAAAGAAGGCACCAAGAAAGCACAAAAACTGCTCCAAAATGTCCACCTAGACAACGAAAACCCAAGGCCCCGGCATGACCATTTACAACACGTGCAAAGACCCAAAAAGAACAGCCTGTAAGCCAGGAAGACCCCAGAACCCCAGAAGGCAGAACCGGGTCTCACACAAGGTAACAATATCCCCTGAACCCACAAAGGGGGCCCAAGAGGAAGAAACCTCCAAAACGAAACCAAAGCACCCAAAGGAACCTGGAATTGAACCAAGGGGAGCCCAAACCACCACATTTGCCGCCGGAAATCAGAAAGGGCAAAGCACAGCACTCAGACAGAACCCCTGGGAAACGGTCAAAACAGATTGAAACCCAAGGGACAAGGTGTGGGAGCAGGCATAAACAGACAGGGACACTGAGCCCAAACCCCAAGGCCCAGACCCAAAACAGACAGAAAACACAAAAACAGATGTAAAAATCAACACCCAAGCATTCCCAGAGGAACAGAAGACGGGAAAAACACCCCAGAAAAAACAAGAAACTGCAACAGGAGGATAAAACCCCTTAAAAGAGGTGAAAACTCACCCACACACGCTCGCTTGCACACCCAGGCGCCGGTAAACAAACCACAGTGCCGCCGGTGGCCAAACGGGGAGTTATCCACAGAAAAGAAAATGGCCACCAACCAATGTGAGCCGTGACCGACGCAATAGAGTTGAAAACACGCCAGCAAATGTGGGAAGTAAGCAGACTAGAGGGACGAAAAACCCTGCCCCAAAGCAGAAGACCCAGGCAAGGGCAAACAGCCCCAGGACTGCTAGTGGGCATCCCCACAGGCCTGGGAACCCGCAACAGAGGCCCTGGGGCAGAACCGTCCTCCACGCCCTCTGCCCTTAAAGAAAAGGAAGAGTCCAGGGGAAAGGCAGCAAAGAAAGGTCCGCTGGTAAGACCCAGAAGCCTTGGCAGGAAGAACAGGCTCGAATACCTCCGTCCCCAACCCGAACGGGACAGCCCCCGAAGCCGCCCGAGTCTCGGCACCAACTAAACCCTGTCCCGACCCTGAAACTGGCAGACGGTCAGGAACCGGGAACAGGGAGGGGAAAGGGGCAAACAGCACCTAACCAAAACGGGACGGCCCCGGAAGCATCCAGGTGGGAAACCAACCTAGCGCGTTGCAGCAATCTAAACCGACGTTGCAATGCGGTTGACGCCAGTACTCTGAACAGAAAGGACACCAGGAGAGTACTGGAGAACAAGCAGAGAACACAATTCGCAGACTCCGGGTCAAGGTGTCAGTTACCCAACAGGCAGCATGACAGAGGTAAAAGTGGCGACTGTCACCCGGAGACAAGGGCACAGCAACCAACGAACTCGCACAAGATGGGTTGAAATCCGTAAGACACATCTAGTGGTCCACCGAGCCCCGACAGGGTTTTCCAGGGCTCGTAGGCTGACTGCTATGGGAAGCCCAGGCAAGGTGTTGCTAACCGGTTAAAACCCAAAACTAACAAGGGGTAGATGCAACACTGAAAACCCCTGCGACGTGTACAATCACGAGGACCTAGCATAGGGCCACCAAACACTACCAGTGGAATTACAGCAGCACATGAGGCAAACCTCCACCAGACAAATGAAAATAAAAACAAAAGAAAAACCCCACAAAAGTACACCGTCTCCAGAGGCAACAGGAACTGGTCGCCACGTAGGTAGGAGGTCGCGCAACATCTTGACGCTCTAACCAGCACAATACCTGTCCCTACCCAAGGCCAAACAAAGGCTCCAAGCCCCAGCTGGCCCCAAGGGTGAGGCAAATGCCAAGCAGCAAGAACCTCTATGGGAATGGTTCCCGAATGCCCCCAGGGAAGATAACCCTGTCACGCAGAGCGAAGGGTTATCTTAAGCACATGCAGCCCCGGTACTGATGAGGAACACCTGGCCACCGCACAACACAACACACGGCAGTGAACGCCACGAAGGCAAACACCACCTAGGAAACTGAGGCCAGAGAAGCATCTGTCCCAGTTGACATTAGCTTACGAACTGAAGTGCTAGGCAGTCGGCGTGGTGAGGTCCGGGTCCCCAACCCTCCCCCTCTCAGGGAGGGGACGGGAGGGCTGCATGGATGAGTGGTGCAGCAGTAGTGTGTTACGTTTGCTTGTTTGCTTGTTTCCTTAGGATTGTAGGGAGTTCTACCTCTCTGTTCAGTTTTTGTTGTTAGTTTCTTACCATGTGGGGGTTTGTTTTGTTATGCATACCTTTCTGGGTGCCTAACCCCAATCGATGGCAGATAAGGAAAAACCCCAACCACAAGAGTGTTTTCCAGGGCATTGCTCCCTGAAACCTCTTTAAAGGGGCCAGGTTCTGGCTCATGGTCCCTGGCAGGTCTGAACTCCTTAGCTAATGTCCCAGTCTAATATAACATACATTAACTCGATCAGCTCCAGGGAGCCGTAGGGGCACCCCTCAGAAACGTAAAATAAATCCTCATTTAACTTTAAATATTCAAATAAATAGATCTCTAATCTAAGAAGAGAGATGAACAAGCTGCAGCTTTCCATTCAATTTTACAAGCTTGTTTAACAAATGTTATTACTGTTAAAATTTCCTGTTTCATTCTCACCTTGCAGTCTTCAGTATTTTGTGACCGGAAGCATTCAAGGCCTAGCTTTCTGTTGCATGTCACTGTCTGTCCTGCTGCTTCTGGTGATTCATGGCCTGATGAAGATAACAAATTAGATAGATTTTAATTCATGTGAAATTAAGTCCTTGGTTAAGCAAAGTCCACTTTGCCAAAGGCGAGGGTGTGCCCATATGATCCCCTCATCTAGCTATATACTATAATCTAACTGATTGAAAGAGTCACATATTATGTTTATATGCACTTTTCTAACCCTCTGAGGGGGAAGCTGGCTCTATTTGCTCATGCTTGGTCCCATGACTCGGGTCATGTTGCATGGCATATGCTGTCGTTGGGCTGTAACAGTGGGACTGTTAATATAGAAAGACCATAGATTTGACATTAAAAGTTGGTAGTGTGTTGGTAGTGACCTGACTGGCAGGCTTGGGTCATCCCTCCCCCTAAGGGATTAGAGCCCATTGTAGACAGCAGCGCCACAGACATCCTGTGTCGAGTCATCAAACTTGGAGAATGATTCAGGTATTAAAGAATTAGTAGGAATAATCAATCGGGGTTAAGTACTTATGTTAAAATTAACCTCAATTGAGAATAAAGAATAAGTCTGTATGTTAACAAAGAAGCATTTGACGTCAGTAAGAATATGAATATTTTTTTTTTTTTTTTTTTTTTTTTTTGAGATATATACAAGAGTTGTTACATTCTTGTACATGTAAGAAATATGTAAGAAATATTTCGTACTTGGTAAATAAGTACCTTCTTTAGCTTACATGTTAATTCATGTGAATTAGTGAAATACAAGTGCTACTGAATATTGTAATTAGCCTGGCTCAAGTATCTAGATAATTCCCAATTGTTTTGGAATAATAAGTCACCTTTAGTGACGCCTACAGGATTTTTAGTAAGTAATCTTCTTCAAAGATTAATTTGGCAACTGAGCTAGGGCCAGCCTCACACGAGGTCAGTGGGGAGATCAGTCAGTGTGGTTTGAGACATCCTGGGAGGTCAACATCTCTCCAGAGGCATGGCTGAATAACTGGATTAGCTGTGGTATTTAAGGTAATTGTTCTGTCTGAGTTTATTAGTGTAGAGTCCACATTATTTGTGTAGTCATTGCCTCAGTTAGGAAGATATTCAGTTTAGGAAGTGTTCAGATAGGACGTATTAATTAATTTTTCATTATTTTCATTGCTAATCTTTGTTGAATAAATTTTGTTTAGAATTTATGGTGTTTAGTGGAATTTTCCCACCCAACCATTATTATACTTTCTGTTGATGGGCTCAAGACCCCATGCTTGGGACTAGCATCCTCTGCAAGACTGTAAGCAGTTATTTACTACCTCAGATAATCCCTTTGTACTTTGATTTAATTCCACACTTAATGTAAATCTTATCCCTCCTTTTCTGATAACTGGGGGATCCATTTTCGGGGTTTATGCCCGATTGACGGTATCCTGCTTCAACGTCAATTGGGAGAATTACTCAATGGGTAGAAGATATTAGGTGGAGGCGGCGTAAGTCAGAGCTTGCAGTGTAGCATCGAAAGGTACAGTATCCTCAAGCCGTGATATCTAAATGGTCAAACGTTTAGATCTTGAGGAGTTGCACTGACGGTTACACAGCAGAACTCTGGTTTCTGTATATCTTACTTAATAACAACCAGCATTTAAACAGTAAGTGAGGTTAAAGGCTGGTCCCCATTACAGGGCAGCCACTTTTCCTTCATGGGGTTCAGGTCGGATGGGGCAGGCCTTTTCTCCTTCCCTCCATTGAATCATCTTGCAGTGGGTGAGTCTGAGAGTGGCTGAAATGACCTCGTCTCTTAAGTGGGTTTCCCGCCTTTTTCCAGTCCTGAAATGGGCTTGTGCGGACCTCCAGTACAGTCTGGATTTGTCCTGTCTAAACCAGTTGATTCTTGCCTCTTTTCGGATGACTATGTTGTCCCAGGTATGTCTTATTTGTGAACCGGGCACTTGGATGATTTCCTTGGACCTCACGGACGCCTACTGGTACGTACCCATACACCTAAGGTTTCAGAGATTGGTTAGGTTTGTAGTGGGGCAACAGGCTTACCGTTTTTAAGACTAAATCTGGCAACATTGTTTTTACGCACCTGACTCAAATTGTAGTGACCCATCTTCTTGTGTTAGGTCTGAGGATTTTGGCCTACCTCGACAACTGGCAAGTTTGGGTTCTTAGCCGGTCTGGTTGTCAGCTAGCCAGGAATCTGGTTCTTTCCCAGCTTACCGGGTTCAGGTTCCTGGTGAACTGGAGGAAGTCCCAGTTGGTTCCATCCCACGTTCAGACCTGATTGGGCTCATCTACTTAGTTCTCGGGGTTTACATCTCTGCTCCATTCATGTTTGCGGAATGCCCAAAATCTTGGTTGACGGACTGTCTCACTGTCACTGATTGAAGGCTTTTGGCTTTCTGATAAGGTTTCACTGATTGAGGGTCTTTGTTTTGTGCTTGTGAGGTTTCATTGGTTGATGGGCCTTGGCTTGTTGTTTTTGTTCATTGGCCAATTTTATGACCATTTCTTTGGTTGGCCTCAAATATTTTACAAGATTCCACCTTCTAGATTAACATAGTTGGATGAAAGTTGGACTTTATTTATTTATTTATTTATTTATTAAACTTTATGCCACTACTACCTTCGAATCATCAGGATTTTTTTAAGTGGACTCATTGTGGATTGATCCGATTTCTCTGGTTCCCTCTTCCAGAGCTAGTGTTTCCAAGGTTGTCCACATTACCATTAAGGCAAGTGCCTCTCAAGGATTAAGGCTAGCCAGTCTTTGGTCTACTCTTGTGCTCATGATATTCACAAGTATTCTGCCTTGTTTTTGGAAACATGTCTTGGGCCAATGTTCAGACATGGGGGTTTTGTAGGTCAAGCAGGTTCTTGGCCGCCAGGTATGTTGTAAACGTTCCAAGCCTCTGTGCTCTTGTGCTGCATTGGGCATCTGTCATGGCCTTCGGTCTTGATTACAAGTTTATACCAGTGGTGCTCCTGGCTCCCTGGTATATTTATCCTTCTCTGTGAGTAGTTAGCTTCAGGGAGCCAATGGAGCTCCCCACAGACATCCAGTGTTGACTGTCATGAAACACCAGTTTCTGGGTGAGCCCCGGAGGCTCCCAGACACCCTATCTCCCCGAGGTTGGTGGTGTGCTTCTCATTAAATTTAATAATTACCTAAGTAATGTATAATGAGATGAGTGCTTGTGTTTCTCTAAATGAGAAAATGTTTCTCATTTAGGGTCCCAGTAGAACAGTTGGGTTCATTCTCAACGCACAATCAAGAATCCCGGGTTTGAATCCCAGGTGGGACAGATATGGTTAGGAACATTTCCTTTCACCTAATGTTCCTGTTTACCTAGCAGTAAGTATGAACTCAGAGTGTTGTAGGGTTGGGCAGGGGTAGTAATTCGACCTTGTGAGGGAACTCAATATAACCCTAACATGTATGAATACACTCTGGCCTCCTGTCCCCCGACACCACAAATTATTATTATTACTGTATTATTATTATTATTATTATTATTATTAAAGAACTGAAGCCGGTCGGGCTTCCCCCTCCCCACAACAAGAGGCAAGGTGGAGTTAATTAACGAGGGGCTAGTTTCATAATTAGCTAGTTTCAAAACAAAACAAAACCCTCAATATCTCAGCCTCATCCCTCAGTTACCACCACCATACTCACCTACAGATTCAAGATCATATGTGGAGAAATATGAGGACATTTGGCGAGTACCCATATTTATTGTTGCTGTATTACCAGTATTCTGTGGTGTTTTGTTTGAAGTAAAACAATACTTCAGTTAATATCGTAAAACAATAATGTATTGTTACGTACTTTTGTACATAAAATTATAATTTTTTGTGTCTGAGGGGATGGGAGGAATATTCATCTACTTATCCAAATACAACTACATATCCAATCGTAATTGATGGTTGAAAGGGAGAATGTTGAGTGTACTGAAATTTAAAACAGAAACTTCAGCTTTTAGTTCATCTTCTTGATTTATGTTGCATACAGTAGTCTCTTCAAATCAACAATTATTGAAAATTCACGTAACCTAATTTAACACAGCACTAAAAAAAACTGTACAGTACATGAGCATGGCAAGGACACGAGCGTGGCAAGGACACGAACGTGGCAAGGACACGAACGTGGCAAGGACACGAGCGTGGCAAGGACACGAGCGTGGCAAGGACACGAGCGTGGCAAGGACACGAGCGTGGCAAGGACACGAGCGTGGCAAGGACACGAGCGTGGCAAGGACACGAGCGTGGCAAGGACACGAGCGTGGCAAGGACACGAGCGTGGCAAGGACACGAGCGTGGCAAGGACATGAGCTTGTGCAGCAGTTGTATGGTGCTCATATCTCAAGAAGCACATCAATAAACTGGAAAAGATGCTACAAAATGGCTTCCAGAACCAAAAAAGAAGAGTTATGAGGAGAGACCAGAGGTGTTAAATATGCTAGAGCTAGAAGATAGGAGAAAAAGAGGTGATATGATTACCACTCACAAAATAATAACAGGAATTGACTAAATTGGCAGAGGAATTCCTGAACCAGCAACTTCAAGAAAGAGAGGACACAGATTCAAGCTAAGGAAACAAAGGTGCCAAAATAAAATTAGAAAGTTTTCTTTTGCAAAAAGAGTGGTAGATGGTTAGGAAAAAGTTAAGTGAGAAGGTGGTGGAGGCCAAAATTATCAGTACTTTCAAAGTTATACGACAAAGAGTACTGGGAAGACGGGACACCACGAGCGTAGTTCTCATCCTATAACTACACATAAGTACTTACCAAAAAGAAATTTAAAAGGAATTATAGCCAAAAATTAAAAGCAATTATAAACCAAAATTTATGCAAAACATAAAATATATAAGGAGTATATATGAATAATCACACAAATGTTAGGAGCAATACTCACTTTCTGTCACTCTACACTCAATTTTTCGTGGTCTGGCGCACAACTCTGGATATTTTATGCGTAGGTCAGAGAGAAGCTCCATCTCATTACCAGAACTGGGGGTTGACTCACTGATCCAAGAGCTCCATTTATTACACTCAAATATTGGCTGTTGAATCAAATTTACAGTAAAAATATAAAATGCCAATTACTAATGAAATATAATTATAAATGTTATTATTTAAATTTAAGTGAAATATGGCAAGGACTGATAAGACAAAAGAGAAAAATGAAATACAAATTAATCCTTTATAAACACCATTTGATAAAGACACCTTTATTTCCAGGTCATTTAGGATTAAGTTAACCTTTTAATACCTATAACAAATTATAACTGAAGTATTCTAAGTTTTGTCTGAAACTCTTTGAATATTAGTGGCTTTATTTAATATGCAACACCTGGGCCTTCAAATATGCTTCTGTATTATTTTCTTATGTATGCATATTTTGTGAATATTTAAATTATTAATATTAAAGGCATTAACAAATATATTTCCTTACAGAATTGCAAAATGTTTATTGTAAGAAAAAACGATGCTGAATGTAATGAAACGGCTCTTTCTGGGTGAACCTCGGAGGCTCCCTGAAGTTATCTATACTAGTTAAGTGCCACACTACTTGGAGTCATCAGTCACACAGTTCTTGTATTCCTACTGAGACTGCGAGCCAGAACCTGGCCCTCTCACAGAGTCACAGGTAGCAATGGCCTATGAACACTTTACATGTAAAGTACAGTATATCATACTTGCCATCGACTAGGGAAGGCACTCAGAAAGGTAGGCAAATCAAAACAAAGTACTGTCTGGGTGAAAATGCGACCTATGTCATCAAAATATCATAAGAACTCCCCAACAAAGAAAACAATCAAAACTTCATCCAACTAACCCCTGCTTGTTAGCTACACCCCCTCGTTAGGAGGGGGGAGCCGGCCCGGGTGAATCGGGCCACCACCAGCCAGTTTCTTCCATGATAAAGGCCACTGACCAAAGGGAGGGAGGCTGTCAGGAAGTCTGACAGCCTCTCTGAACCACCCCAAACTCAATCTGAAGCGGCTTTACCAGTGCCACATGATAAACAGTGAAGTGGCCAAAGCAGGGTTAAACAGAATCCAAGAGCTCCACTCGGAATCCCACAGCCCCAAGAACTGTCGACAGGGGCATCATGGCAGAACCCTTATCCATGCCCACCACTTGAGAGAATAAGGGGAAGCCCAGGGGAAAGGCTTCAAAGAAGGGAGTCAGCTGGGAAGATTCAGAAGCCATAGCGGGAAGGAGAGGCTCAATTACCTTCATGCCCACATCGAAAGGGGTAGCCCCTGGAGCTACCCGAGCCTCGTCTCGAGCTAAACCCCTGCCTTGACTCCGAAACCCTTAGATGCTTGGGAGCCAGATGCAGGAGGAAGGAAGAGATGGGTAAATGAGACCAAATGGAAAAGGAAAGGTAGGTTTGGATGGAATCAAGGTCGAATTAACCAACACCTCCAAATTTGAGTCCTTAAAACTCAAACAGGGCAGCTCTGGAGCAACCAACCGGGCATACAACCAAGAGCGTTGAAGGACCAAAAACCAGTGATGCAAAGCCCTCACTGCTTGAAAGTTCTGAATGTCCAGAGGAAAATGAGGGATCCTGAACACATGGGGAGAACAAGTCCCCACATGACTTCAGGTCATAAGTGTTCCCAACCCAACAGCCAGCATGGCAGAGGCAGAAAGGATGATTGCCACTCCGAGACAGGGGCAACGGCCAACCCTCAAAGTCACACAAGGTGAGAGCAGGCTTGGAAGAGGTATCCATAGTACAACCGAGCCTGCAGAGGTTTGCCAGAGTCTGTAGGATGAATGAGTTGCCGGCATGGGGGTCTGGGGCTCCACACGAGGGTTTCTCTAGGCCATTGCTCTTCGTGTCTCTCCTGAGAGGACCAGGTTCTGGCTCGTGGTCCCCGGTAGGCCCACAGAACTCCATACACATGACTGATGCCAAAGGCTGACATTAGCATATCAGCCTGGATAGCTCCAGGAAGCTGAAGGGGCTCCACCCAGAAATGTCATCAATATAGCATAAGTATAGGATGATATCCTGCTGTCTGATACTTCTTTATGTTTTGAACACTGTGAGTGCAATTATATCTGCTATGGCCACACTACTATAGCTGTCCCCTTTATCTGCCGATAAGTCTTTCCATCAAACATCAGGATAGTGTCTCTCATGATGTGTAGGATGGCTTCTTCAGGTAGCTGCTTCGTAGGGGGTCTCCGTACCCCTGCTTGTCTCAATACATCCCGTATTTTTATACTTGTTCCTATAAAAAAAATTCTGCAACTCGCCCTGCAGAATGCTTGGGTACAGGGAGACTGCATCTAGAGAAAACAGAATTGCACCCACTAGTATGGGGTCTTGCAACATCTATATCTTGTTTAGGAAGTCTGTTGTGTCACGTAGCCTTCCTGGTAGTAACTGCAGGACCGGGATGAGGAGGGCAGAACAAATATAATCTATGGGCCTCATTGGGGCCCCCTGCAACTGCTCAAAATTGGCCTCCCATGCCAGGTGTTTTTAGGGGAGAGGACGTGCTTATGAATCTTGGGTTGAATATATATTAATTGAATCTTGGGGGCAAAGGCAATGAATTTGTCCCATGCCATTGCACAAAAGAGGCCGCCACTACCTCCAGAAGCTGGATCATTGTTCCTGATTGGTTTATAGGCGTGTATATTTTCAAGTTGTCTCAACATTTCCTTTCTATAGTTTTCTGTTTTCCACACCACAAGAGCACCCCCCCCCCCCTTATCTGCTTGCTTTATTACTATATCTGGTATTCTTTTCAAAGTCACTAACGCCTATCGTTCACGCTTCAGTAAGTTACATCTTTTGCTATTTCTCACTTTATTTTTAGAGGCATGTCCTCACTTCATCGATTTTATCTGATAATCCTGTCACTTTCACAATGGGTTCACTTCCACTTTGGGATTCAAATACCTGTATGACAAAGAGTGTATTCAAAGTCCTTTCTCTCACATTCACATGGGAGCCTTCAGTTAGTTCTCTTAACACTTTTTCCCATGCCACACTGATACCTCTTTCGAGTTCATCACAAGTTTGATCAATTGTTCGTAGCCTTTTGTCCAGAGCCAGTAGTCCTACCACAAAGGATAATCCTTGTCTGAGTAGAGTCTTCTCCATAGGTATCAGTTTGATCTCCAAGATAACCGTTTTCTTTAGTTGCCCTTCCATAGTCCATCGTTCCTCCCGTTGAACCTATTGAATCTGCCTCTATAGTACTGTTCGCTGCCATAGTACTGTGGGTGCCTGCCACGATTTAAGTAGTTGTTGTTGCTGTTGTTATTGTGGACTAAGTTACCGTAGTCTTGCCTGCAGTCGTAATTGATGATGATGATGTTATTGCCACCATATCTGTTGCTGCTGTAATCCCGCCTGTTGTGCTACCCATGGTCTCTTCTGTTGCTTTCTTCATCTCCTATTCTGTCTGGTAAAAGTCTCTCTCTTGGGCTTGATTGTTTTAATTGTTTTCTTTGTGGGGGAGTGTTCTTTTGATATTGTGATTGTACAGGTCGCATTTTCAACTAGGCAGTAATCTGTTTTGATTCACCTACTTTTCTTAGTGCCTTTCCTGGTCGATGGCAAGATGACATACTTTAAATGTAAAGTGTTCATGAGCAGTTGCTCCCTGTGCCTCTGTGAGGGGGCCCGGGTTCTGGTTCGTGGTCCTCGGTAGGCATACAAGAATTCTGCGATTGATGACTCCAAGTAGTGTGGCACTTAATCAGTAAGCTAGCTTGAGGTTCAAGCTTACTTAATCAGTAAGCCTGAATCAGAAAACTGATTCAGATATTTGCATAATTCCATAAATATAGCTCTATGGCTTACCTTGCCAGTAACCTGTGCTGAAGTAGGAGTTGTGGAGATGCAGCTGGATGAGTCACATCTCAGGAAGTTATTAACACACTGACACATCTCACAATCGGCTACAAGGAAGGCTTGTCCTGGCTGAATATTGAAAATTATCACACATTAGAAAATAGAACTACAAACTTCACAGACATAATTTTGATATAAGTAACCTATTTATTACATTAGAAGCAATAACACTTTGGTTTGCTGGCATGATAAAAACTTATTTAACTTATGTCAAGATTTTTTAGTAATAATGATGCTTGAAAAGTTTTACAGTATCTTGATACTATACTGCATGAGATTATATAAAAGATATAGAAAAGTAAACATATGATACACTATTTTTAAAACTGAAATACAGAGTAATATTTTATTACTCATTGTTAGTTTGGCAAAATATTTAAATTAATTTCATTGATACACAATAGGCATTACATAAGTTTGTGTTTATTTGTGCCTAACTGTGCCTATAGGAGATGAGGTTTGCTCTTGGGCCCGTGCCTCTAAGTTATCAGAGACATTATGCTTATAAAGCTGTGAAAGGAAGTGGCTTCCTCCACCTCCCTCCATCTTTGTCTGTGGTACATTATAATTATATATATGCAGATGTCATACATTAATAAATGGCATTAACCTCACATGTTTTAATTTTTCTGAATCAAGTAGAAAACCTACAATAAAGTGTGTTTCTTCATGCAGTGTTCAATAATTCAACACAACTTGAACTTGTTTATCTAAAAGAACATTACTGTTCAGTTCCTAAGGTGACTGTGTGCCTCTGTAACCCTTCCATCACTGCCCACAGCATGAATATGGATACTGTATGTGACTTATAATTAACAAACTGAACTAAAATAGCCAATGATCAATGCATTTCGGTCTAATGAACAAATTTTATACACTACTGCTTTTCAACTGTATATATAATTTCCACATTTTAAATTCTGAGAAAGATAGTTACCTTGCTCAGAACCATTATAATGCACATAAGAAATTTGTGACAATTAACATCAATTAGGATAAAAACTACACAAATTGAAAAATACATCACAAGAATGACAACAGTGTATTTACATACAGAATTAACTTTTGAAATAAGCATACCAACTTAAGATTTTCGACCAGTGGTGCGCATAACATCCAAAGATGTTTCAGATGTTGAAACAGTCTCCGTGGCGCAGTGGTAAGACACTAGCCCCGCTTCACAAGTGATTTGGCCTAGATTCGTATCCTGGTTGACTAGGTGCCAATCTTTAACTTTGCTCACCGTACGTGAATTAACGTGTCAATCCTTTGCTCACCCAGCAGTGAATGGATACCTGGTTGTTAAACAATTTGGGACTTCGGATTCCAGGGAAAATTATGAGTAAGGACCTGCCCAAAATGCTATACATGTTATTGACTTTACAAGAATGTAAGAACTCTTGTGAATATAAATAAATAAAAAGATACAGTGCAACTTTAATTCATCAAACTATATGGGACCAATGCTAATTCGCTGGAGTGTGGTATTCGTAGTAACTGGAGATGCCTTCAGGAGGAATTTACATGTTGATTTTTTTGTTTTTTAAAGACAAGAAATATACATTCCTATGCCCGTTTCTTTCTCCTAATATTTCATTCTACAAAAATGTTAAAAAACGTGATTAGAACCATAGTAAGAATTACCATTAATACCCACATATTTCCCATACTCTATATATGCTAATTTCACCGAGCAAAATTTTAATTTCAACTTGTTATGTTATGGACAACAACCAAAAGATTTCACCATATCTAGCCTATTTTCCCATGCCACATCCTCATAATAGTCATGAGAGAAATTAGAGTAAAAGCAGATAAAGATAAATCACGATTGTTGGTACTGGTGGAGTTTAACTTGAAAGCAATAGACTGGGAGGCCTACAAAGCAAGAACGGAGGACATTTGGACAGGCAGATTTTTAAACCTCATTCTGGAGACATTCATATATCAACACATCAAGAAGGGCGACAAATATGAGGGAAGAAAGAAATCTGCCTGTCCAAAATCTGTCTGTTCTTGCTTCATATGCCTTATCAATCTATTACTGTACTTTGAAGTTGACCTCACCCATTACCAACAATCACGATTTATCTTTATCTACTTTTACTGTAACCGGTCATGAGGCCTTTCAGTTTGTCATCCAGTTCCTCCTTTGTCCATGTGTTACTTGCTGGTGGATATAGGCATTTACAATTATCAGTTTATCATCCTGATTCCAAACCTGCAATGCCTTTATATCAACTTCTCGTGGGGTGTCGATTATTAATTCTCTTACCCTCAGGTGTTCTTTTAGCAGCACAGCCTCATGTTTCTCCTTTCTAGTTTTTCCGTCACGTCTCCAAATTATGTGGCCACCTCAGAAATATGACCTCATTTAAAATATTTTTTCAAGTTTCGTCTCTGTTAGTGGGAAAATATCTGGGACCTAAAACTGAATTATACCTTTAAACTCCATTATGTAACAGTATAACAGTTTTCCTTAAACATTTACTGTTAAAATGCAGTAAACTAAGCTAATGTCAGCTATCAGCTATGCCTGATAGTTTACCTGAGTTTACCTAGTTTACCTGAGAGCCACAATCACTAGTAGCTTCGACGAGAACAGGAAGTCGGCGAACTTGTCAAAGCCCTCCCCCCCATTACCTTGATGATCTTTTACTCAGCTGTACTTTAAAACCCAATAGAGTTTTGGCATTTATGGCTTTGGCGGGTAGGCAGTTCCATGGGTTAATAACTCTGTAGGTGAATAAGCATTTCCTGTTCTCAGTCCTATATTGTGCCTTGTTGAGCTTGATACTGTTGCTCCTTGTTTGTGTTACACCTGACTGATTGAAGAAATTTTCTGGATCAACATCCTCCAATTTGTTCAGTATTTTAAACTTTTCAAAGAGATCCATACTGTCATGCCTGGTTTGCTGTGTTGTTGGCTCTGTGACCTTCAACCGTTCCTGATATGTGAGTTGAATTAGCTCTAAAATGATTTTTGTTGCCCAGTGTTGCACTTTCTCCAGAGCAGCTATATCCTTCCGAAGATGAGGTCCCCATACTTGGATACAGTAATCCAAATGGAGGTGCACCAGAGATTTATACAATTGAATCACTACCTTCTTTACCTTGAAATTGAAGTTGTCAACTATCCTGATAGCCATAACTATCAGGTATGCCTGGAAGTTGTCAACTATCCTGATAATCACAACTATCAGGTATGCCTGGAAGTTGTCAACTATCCTGATAATCACAACTATCAGGTATGCCTGGAAGTTGTCAACTATCCTGATAATCACAACTATCAGGCACTCTTGACAGTTGTGGTTAATTTAAGGCAGTATACATTAAATAATTTATTCATGGTCATGGAAGAGAAATTGATGACTGAACTTCTGATTATATGTCAATATTTATTATCTTAAAACAATATCTTAAAAAGTTTTTGTTTACACATAAAAATGTTCAATTGAGTTTAAAATATAAATACTGTATTACCGGTGCTGGCATGCCATTAGGGAGGCGACAGTTACAGTCATGAATGGCAACGCAGGTTGTCTTGTCCCTCAAGTACTGGTTGCCAGGGCAGCCCACACTGGAGAAAGCATCTATACAAGCTGGAGCATACTGACCATCGTGCTGAAAATGACAAAAATAAAATAAGTAAAATACCAAAGCAAATTAATTGTTGTCTTTAGTTAAAGCAAATTTCTCGAATGCAAAACAATATGTAATCATGTGGTCAATAACATAAAATCTCCCACTCTCCTTTTATCCACAGAGAGTGTGTCCAATAATGAGATATAGGCCTTTTATCCACAGAGAGTGTGTCCAATAATGAGGTTAGGTAGGGTTGGTTAGGTTCGGTCATATATCTACGTTAATTTTAACTCATATCATACATAGAGAAAAGGGTTGCTTTATAAAATATAGTAAATATATATATATATATATCGGGCCTTGAATAGTAGGCTATAAGTATTCTGGCTATAGGTACGACATATATATATATATATATATATATATATATATATATATATATATATATATATATATATATATATATATATATATATATATATATATATATATATATATATGTATAGTATATATATATGTATATATATATATATATATATATATATATATATATATATACACATATATATAATATAAATTTATATATATATATATATATATATATATATATATATATATATATATATATATATATATATATATATATATATATATATATATATATACATATATATATATATATATATTATAGGTTGCTCGCAGGTTGCATCCTGTTGTCTCAGCTTCGCGTTGCGGAGTTTGTGGCGGCCGCCTCCCGGGTTAGCCTTTTCTTTTCTTTCTCTTTGGGTATGAAGCTCCAGGGAGCCGTAGGGGCTCCCCACAGAAAACCAGCATTGAATGTAATGAAATGCAATTTTCTGGGTGAGCCCCAGAGGCTCCCTGGCAACCCTCCCTCCCACCGGTCGGCAGTTTTTCGCGTTGGTTGAAGCTTAGCTTCCGAACTGAAGCTTGGCAGCCGGCACGGTAGGTCCGGGGCTCCCCCTTTCCCCTCTAGGGGCGGGGAGGGCTGCGCGGACGATCGGCGTGGCAGCAACGTGTGATGTTTGCTTGTTTGCTTGTTTCCTTGGGATTGTAGGGCGTTTCTACCTCTCTGTCCAGTTTTTTGTTTTAGTTTTTACCATGTGGGGTTTGTTTTGTCATGCCTACCTTTCTGGGTGCCTAACCCCGGTCGATGGCAGATAAGGAAAACCCCAACCACAAAGGGGTTTTCCAGGGCCATTGCTCCCTGAAACCTCTCTGAAGGGGCCAGGTTCTGGCACTGGTCCCTGGTAGGTCTGAACTCCTCAGCTAATGTCCCAGTCTAATATAACATACATTAGCCCGATAAGCTCCAGGGAGCCGTAGGGGCTCCCCACAGAAACAGGCCTTGGAACAGGAAACGAAGGTGACAGGATCAACCCACAACCAACAATTGTGATGTATCTTTATCTGCTCTTATTATAATCTCTTTCATGATCATCATAAGGCCCCTTGTTTGTTGTCCAGCTCCTCTTTTGTCCATGTGATGCTTCCTGGAGGACTGTAGGCATTTATAATTACAATATCAGTTTATCATCCTGATTACAAATCTCCCAAGGTATGCTGTGGGATACAGTACAACACTAATGGGTCATGTAGACACATTGATTGATTTATAATAATTTATAATAATTCACTGTGTTGGGGGACAGGATGCCAGAGTGTATTCATACACGTTAGGCTTTTATCGAGGTCTCCCCATCAGGGTCGAACTACTGACCCAACCCAGGATGCAATCCCGCAACAAGCTGACTAACTCCTGAGTATCTACTTGCTGCTAGGTTAGCAGAGGCATTAGGTGAATGGAAATGTGCCCAACCATTTCTGTCCCAGCCAGGATTCAAACCCGGAATTCTCGAATGTGCGTCGAGAACGAACCGGACTGTATTACCGGGACCATTATATTTAAATATATCAAGTGGATTGAGACAAAATGTGGACTTGGGAGGCTGTTCGGATGGACAAATGTTTGTACTGTACTGTATAGTGGTCATCTGTATAATAGAAACCTCCTGTACTCTTCTTTTCCTAGCTAACATTAAGAGGTCCCGGTAGTTAGATTCGTTCTCAATTCACAATCGAGAATTCCGGGATCAAATCCCGGGTGGAACAAAAATGGTTGGGAGCATTTCCTATTACCTAATGGCTCTGTTTACCTAGCAGTAAGTAGGTACTCAGGTGTTAGTCAGCTTGTTGTTGAGTTGCATCGTGAGGGGATCAGTAATTCGGCCTGAGGGGTGAGGGTGGGGGGGGGGGCACCTTGATATAAGTCTAATATGAATATAGACACTGGCTGCACGTGAATTATTATTAATTAAACGTTTAAAAAATATTATAACTTACCAGACATTCTCCATTTTGTCGCAGGAAGTGCTGATAGTAGAGA